CCCGTTGCTTGCGCGAAGTGCCGCAGGGCACTGGCGCAAGCTCGTCAGACCATGACAAAGGGCTTCAGGTCTGCGATGTGGGCACGGCTGAGTTTTCCCAAAGGGGATCTTTCAGCTAGTACGCGCCACGGACGCTCACTGACAATCGGTTCATAAGACCGGGCGGCTTTCCAACCCCTGGCTCAACCGTTTGTCAGACGTGGCAGGCACGGAATAGCGATAAAAGCCACGCTTCGTGCCGGGCCAGGTCACAACATTGCTCAGTTTGCAAAAACTTTCGAGCCACGCAGGTGACCGGCCATGGGTTCGTCGTGAGAGGATCGCAACAGTGCGGCTCTCAGACTTTTGGGCATAACCACCTTAAACGGGTCTATGGACTTGTCGTCAGTGGCTATATATTTCAGCAGGAGCCCGTCATGGTCCAGCAAAATGAATCCGCCGGGGACTCAGTGACACACGCTGTTTCAGCCCCCTAATCGCGCCCGCCGCAGAACAAGCAGCGTAACGGCGCTCCGCGCCTCGTCAAGACGGTTTAACGGCGCCCGCCGCAAAGCAAGCAGCGTATACGGCGCTCCGTCCCTCCGAGACTCGAAACGGATCACTCTGCTGAGCCTTCAGTAGCTCTTCGCTGCCGAAAGCAATTCCCATTCTCCCAAATGGGGGAGTCTGGTATCGCGCCCACTCAGGACCGCAGCAACCGCCGCGTGAGTCGGCGTTACGGGTTCGCTCTCGGCCTCGTGGCCTTCGGAAAGCTCCCCCGCTCGGCCGCTTCGCGGTGCGCCGCTTACCTGGTTAGCAGCCAAGGTTTGTCCGCATGGGGACTCACCCTTCTCGCCGAATGGCGGCGAAGCTGCTGTTTCACCCCCGACGCTTGCATGTGCTAAGGCACCGCGAGCGGCCGTCGCACCGAAATCCAGGTTCTCGGCAGACAACAGGGGGCACGAGATAGCGCGTCAGCTACCACGTAGGAGTGTATTCACCACAAAAAGGGGTGACGACACAGGCGAGCGCCGAAGGGCGCCCGTCGATAGAGGCGGTGGCCTCTTGGTGCAACGCGGCATGCCACGAAGCAGACATAACGTTCGGGTAGGGCAAGAGGCCCATTCCGAAGCGACGCGCCATCTCCAAAGGGAGCGGCTAGGCGCCTCGTGTCGTCACCGCAATAGGGGGTGCCGACACGGACGGGCGTCGGAGGCGCTTGTGCGTAACGTTCGGGTAGGGCAAGAGGCCCATTCCGAAGCGACGCGCCATCTCCAAAGGGAGCGGCTAGGCGCCTCGTGTCGTCACCGCAATAGGGGGTGCCGACACGGACGGGTGCAGAAGGGTTCCCGTCAACAGAGGCAATGGCCTCCGTGTGCAACGCGGCATCCGCTAAAAGGGACAGCGGACAAAAGTCCCGCGAAGCAGCCATGTTGCGACGAGCCCGAATCGCGCAGGCGAACTGACTCGCTAAGAGCAGTCAAAAGCTAGAGCTTTTGATACCGCGTTGGGCGCCAGTGTGGTGTACACGTATCCCGAAGGAGTACGGCCACCAGCGTGGGTCCGGTCTTAGCGAGCCGCAGGGCACGCGTTAACCGTCGCCGTGGCGGGAAACACGATACTGCTCAAGTCGCAACACTTTATTGTGGCAACACCAAACGCAGTACAGCCCGTTGCAAAAAGGGCGCGGCGGGAAAGCAAGTAGGCTTATCCACGCCACGGGCACAAAGTACTACACAGGGTGCCACGAGCACGTCTCCGCGGTAAAGGTGATCCACGGAGACACCGGGACAAAGGGCCCGGTTGCTCGAGCGAGGGCAAAGGCGCTCGCGTTGGCTTCGAAGGGAGACGGGTCGGCGTAGCTAGGCCACGCACTAGGACACCGTACTGCCCTTCGGCCGTGAGTACGCAGCGGGGCAACAAAGGGTGAGCGTTCGCATCGGGCGCGAGGCGCCGTCAGCGAAGTCCGACGAGCCCCGAGCGACGGGACTCGACGGACGGAAAGATAGCGTGGCTCACCGTTTGCTGTCCCGGAGAGTATCTGCCCGCTCCCGACGCAGCGCGCGAAAACCTCCCTTGGGAGTCCCCGCGCGCGGCGCCACCGTCAGCATCCGCTACCGGGTGAGGGAGTTAAACGTCACTCCGCTCTCTCAGCGCGGCAGACAGCAACGGAGGGCAGACATGTCGGGACATGAGAACGGCAGAAAAGGCGGGAAAGCCCGCTTAAAGGCAGCGGGCCAGCCTCAATTCCCACAACCTGCACCACGCCACACACCTCTCCTGACAAAAGCACAGGGATTGGCTGTTTTGCCCATTTATAAGCGGCTAACGGATGAGAAGCTCCTTGCTCGATGCATCAAAGGGAAAACCCAGAACGCATCGGAATCCCTGAACAGCAAAATTTGGCTACTTTGCCCCAAGACTAAGTTTGTCTCCCGAACGGTTGTCGAGACTGCCGCAGCTATGGCAATCCTGTGGTTCAACAAGGGCCATGCTACTTTCGAGCACATCCTGGAAGAGCTCAACATACTGCCATCTAGAGATCTAGTTACTTTCAGTGATTCCTGCGACGCGAGGTGCATCAAGAGAATGTCCGAGCGTCTGACAGCAGAAGCAAGGGCCCACCGTCGTCGTGGAGTGAAAAGGGCCCGGCTAGAAGAGAGTGCTCGCAAGGACCGTGAGGGCACAACCTATGCTGCAGGACAGTTCTAGTAACTGGCAGTGCTTTTCAAAGTTCTGTTGAACATTATGGCCAAAGATTATGCATTTCTAACAACTTTGTGATAAAAAAAAAAAAGGTTTCAAACTTTCAAATGCGTTTTTCTCCTTTTGCAGTTTTGTGTGATCTGTGCTTCTTATACACACTAGTTCGTATACTTAGAATTGTCATACCTCTATGAAATTTTGCACATAGCATGATGAAGGCCCATAGAGTGCAATTATCTATTCAGATTGTCAGTGCTGCTTGATTATGTTTTTCAAAAATTACATAACATTGAAAGCCCTTGGCAACTAGAGCCATAGTAAATTTTTCTATATTATTATTGTATTTCACCTTTTTACACACAAAATTTATATAGTTTTTTTGCACTCTACAGTTCCAAAGGATCATAGTCAGCTATATCTGCATGCTTTATCTAAAATTTTTATAGGTCAGAATTGTTGCATAACAATGGCCATAATTTTGCAGTATCTGACCTGCAGAAAGAAAACCAAGCAATCTACATGAAAATAAATGACATATTTGAAAAGAGGAGAAAAAACTCTATTAGCATGCCAATTTGTGTTAAATTCAGGCTCTTATTAAAGAAAATCGTTTTTCGAGTAGCATCTCCCTTTAACTACTTTTGAACGACGATATCGTCTGCCGAATCGATACATCAATTGTAATGAATACACTAGGACATCCGCACACAATATTACCACACACGCCATGAAAAACACCATAACACGCCCAAGGTGGCGGCGCCAACGCTTGACTTACTACGAAGACCCCCCGGCGCGCAGCCCGCGGTGCCACGTATGGGGGACCTACGCTAGAGATAACCGTTCGCGTCAACTGCCACGCGCAGAAGAGACTTGCTCAACTCTCGCCTGCCACCAAGGCTTGTTTTTCGCCAGGGGTCACCGCTGGCGCTATCACTGATGATGATAGTGGGGCTCAACGTGAACACAACGCCATCTATTGCCCGGTGGTTGTAACTTGAATTGCGGCTTTTTGGCAAGACACGTGCGCCATGCGGCGCAAACCACTTTACAGGCGATGTCAGCACCCTTACAGTTATCATCGCCACTATCATCATCATCATAGTTGTTAGATTGGCAGCGCTGGTGGTAATGCCTGGTGGCAAGCCTGGGTGGCGGGGCAGAAGAAAGAAGTGAGTCTTTGTTGCAGGTGGCAATAGCCGCGAACAGTTGCCTCCAGCGGTGGGTCCACGTGGCGAGTCAAGCGTTGGCGCCGCCGCCTTTTGTGTGCCCTTGCGTTTGTTGTGTTGTTAGGTGCTGTGTAATTTTGTGTAAGGTTGTTTTAGCATGTTGATTGCAATTGGTGTATATTAATTTGGCTGACGATATCATCGTTCTAAAATAGTTAAAAAATTTGTGTTGTTTGGTTTGTTCCGACCGTGTCTACTGCGTCCGTTCACTCCAAGAGCGGTGCTCTCCACAACAACACCCCACAATGAATAGTGGAGTATTTGAGTTGGCTTCAGTTCGAATTAAGTTACTTAAAATTTCAAAGTATTTGCTATGAACGAATAAGTTTATATATTAGTCCGCATGTAAACTATTCGCTTCAAACCTAAAATTCACAATTCGCACAAGCCTACGACAAACAATGCATATGCTTGGTGGGACCAAAGAATACATTCCGAGTTATTCGATTTTCTGAAATTATGAGCATTTGTGGTACAAATACTCAGTAATTACTGCTGCTAAAATGTACACCACTGCCATTTCCTGACATTATCAGATAAAAAGAAAAAGGATAGTATCGTAATTTTTTGTTCTTGCATTCATAGCAGAGCATGTGAATAATGCGCACACAAAATTTGTGGTCTGTCATAAAGGGACATACTCTGCTTTTACTTCTCGTCCGTCTGTAATGCCACCATGCCATTTACTCATGCTACCACAAGCCGACATATTCCTCTCCCGAAATTGTTTTTCATGGCTAAAGGTGAAGCATTGCTAGCATTCGTGCATCCCTGCTCCCCACGTGCATTTAAAGCCCTTTACAAGAGACTAGCACCAGTGAGAGATTCTTGTCTTTTATATCGGGTGTCTCTTGTAAGCAAGGTACCACGTGTGTTTTCTCATCAACCCCTATTTTCATCAACGTTGGTATTTCTTATACACATTTGTCTCTTGTAAAGTGTAAAATGTGAATGTGTCTGTTATAAAGGGGTTGGACTGTACAGGCACGCTACTTAACGCTTACCAAATTGCCTTGCCCCCGTGTTAACGAATTATGGGGCAAGGGGGATGGTAGAAGCTCCTGAACCACCCTTGCTGTGGTGCAGCTCTCCTCACCCACCAGCGCCAAAGGTTCGAGCTGCTGCAGCGAATGTACGCCCAGCAAATGCAGCTGCTCCAACAGCTTCGAACACAAGTGGAATCCAAAGAGGTCAGTCTGATGAGCAAGCAGCTGGCTGACGTCACCCCATCGCAGGTAAGTCTGGGTCACTTCCTCTGTTTAGTGCAGTGCACACTCACTTGCTGCTCTTCTGTCTTTTTCGAGCGGGATCAGTGAGGCTTGATGACTTTGCAGTGGAGCTGTCAGAGTCAAAGCTACGTCCATCCGCAGTGATGTCATTCGCAGCATAGCCAAGCCAGGAAAGAGGGCTAGTGCGCGCTCAGGGGGAAAGCATAGCATAAGCAAGCATAGGTGAGAGTGAAAGGCCATAATAGCAGAGTAGGGAGGGAAAGGAGGATAGCAGAGTTGGGAGGAGGAAGGGAGAGAGTAAAGCAATGCAGTGTCGTGGCAGAGGAATGAGTGAGGTGAACGGGAAACTTTTTAACTTCACTGTAACTGTTATTTTCCTGCTAATGCATTAGTGTGCCATTGTGTAGATGCACTCTAGTTTCGCCTTGATGCTTTTTTGTCTTACCCACTCAATGTGAAGTGCACACTTTGACTCTAAGATAAAATGATAGAAATGGTTTTATGTACAGTGCCACTTGTTTTACTAAAGAATACTACTGCTGCTAGTCTACTCCATGTTACATTTAAGCTCTGCTACATTTGACCTATATAGCGATTTGTCTTGAGACAATATCTGGTGCTTAGGGAGACACTAAAGGCAAATATTAAGTCGACGTTGATTGTTCAAATAGCATTCCAAAAACCTTGTAGTGTTAGTTTTGTGCAGTGGTAAACACTGCATGAGTTCAGAGTTAGAGGCTGCATACCAGACTGCAAAATAACGCTAAGAGTTAACACTCTTCTTGGCCTTTTTTAGCTGGAAGAACTAAAGACTCTGCAGAGGCGGAACCGGGCGTTAAACGTCGAGTGCCATTGTCTACTGAGTGAAGTGGACCTGTACGCGCGTGGGGAGGTGCCCGTGGGGGCCACAGACGATCACTTCTACCAGAGGCTGAACCCAGGCCAGACAGTGCCCCAGACGGTGCATCACCCAGTGCCGCCTCCTTCTTATAGACCTATCCTGTCGCCACCCCGAGTGTTCCAGTCTAACAGTAAGTCGCCGTACAGGATGTCACTTGTGATATGCAGCAGCTCTTAGTCCTGACTCTTTTTTTAGGCTCAGGCACAGCATGTACAGTTACTGTGTTCATTTAAGGGAAGACGTGGGTTTGAAGGTCGCGGTTTTGCAGGAAGTTCTTGCTTTTTTTTTTTCTAGGTTGTATTGGCATCCTTGGATTATAACTTTTTACTTCCAAAAATATCAAGCTGAAATTTGTGTGATTGTCTAATAATGCTTCTAAGTGGGCAGTGGTGACGTGAGAAATGCCGGAAAGTCGCCAAAAATGGCATAGTTCGTGTCGTCCTGTCTCAAATACAACGCGTTGGCCGCCATTTGCAATCGTGCACGCATGCTGCGAAAGCTGTCCCGTTCACAATCCATTAGTAGCCAGTCTCGTAGCTTCACGCAGAATAAACTGAAAAACAAGAAAAACAATGTGTACGTCATATCGCGACAAACAGCACGAGGCCGCCATTGGACGTCGGTGCACTCCACACCGTCCCCCTCCTATCTCTCCGGCAAAAGAGTGAAGCCTCGCACGTCGCGGTAGAGTTGTTCTGTGTTTCTCTACATTTTTGTGTCATGGCAAGCCCCAATAAGTGCAGTCTAGATAATTGAAAGTTCAGAACTCTCCACAAGTATTTAGGGAAACGGTGTCTGACGCTTCCCAAAGCAACAGCAAACGACGATGTCACCCCCCGACCAACGCCCTGAGGCTCCTACTTCGGATAGGCCTAACACCGAAGACCGCGACAGTAATTGTGAAATAGCCGCTGCGGTAGAATCATCAGTGCATCCCAAAGGAAGATTGGATTATTAAAAAGTGAAATAGACCATTAGTTGCTGCTACTGCCAACTCGCTGCTTTGCGAAATTGATGCGCTGACGGCACTTGTGGCGGGTGTGCATTGCCCAAGCTGCCGCGAACGGAAGCTTGGCGTCCGAGAGGCAGCTGGAAAGTTCAAAGGGCTTTCGGCATTCCTCCAGCTGTGCTGTGAAAATCTCAATTGCCCTGAATCTGCACTTTCGTTCACGCACACGTCGTGGCGTACTACTTCATCCGGGAATCATGCGATGAGCGCTCGTTTCGACAGCGACAGCTCACGTGACATCTATGCTGTAAACATGAAGGCAGTTCTGGCTGCACACACTATAGGCGCAGGCCATGACCAACTTTCATGATTTTGTGCGATTCTCGGTCTTCCAAACCCAATGCATTACAGAACATTCAACGGCATTTACAAGAACCTACATTGTGTGGCGATGACGACAGTGAGCAAAAACTTGGACTAGGCAAGAAACATCACGAAGGGTGCAGTCAGCGGTAGAGATGGGCCAGTCATGTTTGATGGCACCTGGCAGAAAAGAGGTCATAAAAGCTGCAATGGAGTAAGCACAGTCATGTCCTTGGGCTCTGCCTTGATTTTGAAGTTCTTTCGAACTACTGCCATGCTTGCAGTATCCACAGGGACCTTGGGGAGGATGAAGAGGTATGGCGAGCTTTCCATCTTCCAGTTTGCAAAAAAAAAAAAAATGGAACCTGCAGCATCTGTAAATATATGGCAGAGGACCTCGTCTCATGAAACTGCACTGCGATTCCCCAGCTTCCTAAGCGATGGTGACGACAACGCCTTCACTGCATTCTGCGAGGCAAATGTGTATTGTGACACACACGTTCACAAAGAAGAGTGCACTAATCATGTTGCGAAATGCTTGGGAACTGGGCTACGGATATTGGCAACACCACTGCCACGAATTGAAAAACTCAAAGGTGCAACAATAAAGAAACTACAAGATCAGCATCATGAGCAACAAGGACAGTGTTCGTAGTATGTACACTGCCATATGGGCATTGTATTTTCATAGGGAAGTACAGTCAGACTACGCTACAACAAAGGTTAGCTTCAACCAACTTTTTGCTTCAACGAAGACTTTTTTATTCCCCATCAGCTTGCCATAGAAGTCAATGCGTCAAAGTTCTCGCCACAACGAACCGTTTTTCGGGCTTGTTTTCGCTTCAACGAAATTTTCGCTCACTGGAGCTTGACTTGAAAATTTGTCTTACGATAATTTGAGCGTGTCGTCAACCACGAAACTTTTCTAACATAAACTGCGCCTTGTTTCCACAAAATTATGCGCCCATTGCTCGCTCATAGGAGAGCACCGTTGTTCGGTGGTGATGGCAATGCGCCAAGGAGCAGGCTCGCTTTGCTATGGTGGAGCCACAAGAGCCAATCCGCATTCAGTCTAGATTGCGTGTTCGCAGCATTTCAGCGCAACAAAAGCACTAAAGCATCTTTTAAAGCGCCGAAACCTTTTATTTGTGCTTGTGCACTCGTGCGCGCTACGGCGGTCTGGGCACGGTAAAGGTTCACACAGACGTGAGCACGAACAATTACATTGCAGTTGACGCATACGTTATCGCTCATCATGAGCTAACTGACTACGCATTACAGGTTCGCCATAACACCGCGTCGTCGGACATGAAAGTGATGCACAACACACATCGGTGCCACCTTCAGTCAGTTAGCTCATCATGAGCGATAATGTCTGCCTCAACGGCGATGTATTCATTGAAGGTAATGGACTGAACGCATTCGATATCATTCGCACTTTCACTGGCGCCTGCGTTTACGACCTCGCGATGCACTTGCTGATCATGTGCGAGTGTTGAACCGTTGCGCTGATGTGCAAAGGAAGGCGGCAAACGAAGGTAACAGTCTTTTTCTGAAAATAAACAATGTTTGTGAAGGGTGTAGTCAAATGTAGCAGTGTATTGGGGCAGATTGCGCCACAACGAAATAACCGCTTCAACGAAATTTTTTATGCGTCCCATCAGTTTCGTTGTAAGGACCTTCGAGTGTACAAGCAAAAATGGGTAGACGTGATTGTAATATTTTCCATGGGCGAAGCTGTTGAATTCAACGTTTTAAGTGTAGGAGAGAAATAAATCTATCATCATTAAAAACCGGTTAGTGCTCCTTTCATCCTTTTCTTCCTCGTCTGCGTCACTCCCAGAACAAGTGTCCCGATCAGTCCAGCATAGGATAAGGAAGGAACTTTATTTCTACAAAAATTTCTGCATGGTGCGGTGGCCTTTTTATTTGCACGATAAATCTAAAAAGATCGTTTTCATTGTATAAAACGACACTATATTTTCTGTTTTCTCGCTTTGTAATGTTTTTTCAAGGCTACCCGATTTAAGCCCAGTCCCCCAGGGCAGGTGTAAACCAAAACTTAAGGATGTGTACATTTAAATCTCAATCTTGGATGATGCAACGTGCATCTGTACACCTTATTCCAGGTCGCTAGTGCTGGAAGGCATTACATGAGAAGTAGTACCATAGGTGCCCAATGTTGCTCAGGAGCAACAACTCACTACTCACCTATAAATAATCATAATTTTTTCTGAAAACAATATTGGCATATTTCATAATTTTCTTATGCATACCAGAGTTTTCTTGGTATTGTTCATTGAAACAAAATTTTGGGCATCAAACGGTTAAACCTTTTGAATTTGCTATGCACCCACTATGTGACCTTAAGGGAATACGCGCAGTAGCGAGTGTGCCATTTGTAGCGGGGTACCGGCTTTCAACCACGGAGCCATTGTGATAATGATATATTTTGACCCCGCTTGCAATGGACGCTTGTACCATGCATTATTTCTGCAATACTTCATGTTGCATTGTGAAGCATGTATATAGGACGCGTGTGTTTGTGAAGCATGAAAGCTACTTTCACTGAATTTCCAAGCAAAGGAAGTTTTTTTCACTGTTTTCACAAGCAGAGGCGTGGCCGTGTGGTAGAACATCCGCTTGCCATGCAAACGAGCCGGGTTCGATCCTCATGCAGACTCCCAACAACACTGGTTCGGTTCCCACTCTGCTCCAGGATTTTTCATCAGTTATTTATCTTATTAGCATCATTTTCAATTTGTCGGTCATGCATAAGATGATGCTTTTTCGCTCGCAATCGACACTGACACTGACGCCGGAGTTTCTGCGAATCGAGCTCTTCAACTCTGTCTTGTAAAAATTTACTCGAACTAAGTTCACCATTACAACGATGTTGGGGACAGTGCCATGCTCGAGCACATGCTCACTTGCCTTCAGCAACATGCTTTCATACTCCGTTCATGGCACAATAGTGCAAAGAAAGGTGCCATTGTGCTGCTATGCCACCTCGCAAGGCTATGAACATGTGATTTCACAGCAGCGGCTAGAGCCACCGCTGTAAGGATGGTAAGCTTTGGTTGTGTGCGATCGTTGTGAGGGAAGAAAGGAAGAAAAAAAAAATCAAATTTCAGTTCTGTAATTCAGGAGTGCAATTCAGGGCGGCTGCTACGGTTGAACCCCTTTGTTATAGGTACGCACCGAGGAGCAGTTTTTGTTCATTGTATGTGACATCTTCGGTAAGCAGGGTACCAGGCTCTTATTTTTCTGATTAGCCCCTGTGTCGATGTGGGCACACAGAACCAATTGTCTGTTGCATTAGTGCCTCTTGAAAAGGGGTCCAACTGTAGTAAAGCGTGGAATACTCATACAGTCAAACCTCGTTAGTATGTACCCCCTTTAAACATAATAACGGTTAAAACGTAGTTGCGACGAATCACCGACCGTGTCTCATCAAGACTAATGCATTCGCCGACCGCTTAAGTCGTAGTAGTTCTTGTTACGCTTATCGGTTAGCGCTTACCAACGGCGTATTGTGATAAAATTTCACACTGTAAATGTTTACTGCGCCGCTGCACTTGCAGACACCACAATATGTTGCAAACGGTTTTCCGTCATTTTGATACGTGGAAAGATCGGCCGTTTAAGAAGTCAAGAGCTCCGCGTGGGGATGCCTTTGCGGATTATCATGGTAAAAAGTGAAGGCAGGATGGCACCCACCGACAAATGTGCCGCTATGACTTGTTGCCGACGACAATCCTTATCATACCAGCTATTTGCTCAGGCACGCATCTCTCATAGCACCACTTTGAGCTAGGCGACCTGAACACGCTGGGCCGATGTATTCCCTACCGCCTCATTGTGCGGGACCGTGTTCAACCGCGCACCACTTTGCAGAAACGCAAGCAGCTCACTGTCGCGGAGTTAAGCATACTGGGTCGCGGGCACCCAGAAACCTTCCGGTATTGACGCTTACAAGCGTACGGTGCAGCAAGCAATTGAATTGTATTGAATTTTTATTGACGTAAGAATAGTTTACAGAATACAACAGTGTCAGAAATTCATCTGAATCTCTAGCCAAGGGCTAGTTGGGATTCATTCAAAAAATTATCTTGAAAAAGGCATGTCATTTGCCAACAAAAAATTGAGTACAAACACAAATATTTTACTAAAGTTATAACACACAGAAAACTGATTATAACATGGCATATTTACAAAGCTTGGTGAATGATCACAGATACGGGCAGGAAAACAAAAAAGGGAAAAGAAACAGATGTGTAAGACATCGCTTGAGAAGTGCATATCAAACGACAAAGTGATAAATGAACATAAGAAAAAAATTGATGACATTGGGACATGATGAAATTGAATCGTGATGTATGTGACTAAGAAACATAACAATACTGTGTGAAGACAAAAAGATTATTTGTAATAGCATGCAACATAACTTTATTTATAAATGAATTTAGTAGGGCTTTTTCTAGCATTGAAACATTAAAGGGACCCTGAAACACTTTTTCAAATAACCATCGAATGAATTTACTGGAAGAACTTATTGCCTTACGAATTCAACGCTGCAAAAATTTTAAGAATTTGTTCAGTACGAGTAGAGTTACAAAGATTTGTTGCATGCTGCAATTGCATTCTTTCTTCTCTCGTCCCGACAGAAGTGCTGGAAGTTAAGCAGGCAGGGATGGCAGGGCCACAAAAAACGTCACGCGCGCTTCGCGGCCTTGAGCACTTTTTCTTTTCTTTTTTTTTTTTTTTCGAATGCGCAGCTTTTGCAGTGTCCCGCGCGCACGCGTGGACAAGTCGCGGCCTTTTGCGGCAATCTTTGTAATGACCAAACGCGCCATGTTCAAATCAGCCAATGGCTGATAGATGGGCTTGCTACGTGTGGTTTTTTAGCGTCTTCTGTCATTTGTCGGGAGAAGAGAAAGCGATTTTTAGCTGACTTTGATAATTTATTGTGAATTCTAGGCCACATGCTGCACTATTATATCTGGCTCGCGTGTTGTTGGGAGCCTCTTCTACCGATTGGCAGCGTTTTCTGACCATGCTCAAAAAGTGTTGCAGAGCCCCTTTATTAAATATTTTTTTCAGTGCAAGAGGGAAATTCTTGTTCTGTTTTATTTCTTGTGTAAGAATACTCCATTAGCTGTAAGTTTTCTGTTACTATATTTGCTGTGTGGGATCGCTTCCTTTTACAGTCGCCGACCGATTTTCCGGACTCCAAAAATTTGGACTTGTTGGATATTCCGGACTTCATAAATGCACCGTCAGGGATCCCATAGAGCTAATGCATTGTTTCGACCGATTTTTCGGGCGAATTTGCCCCTGAAAGTTCGATTTTTCGGACTAAATCGCTCGTTTTGTGCCACGCCTCAAGCCATTGTGAACGCCGCCATGTTGGATTTTCCGTCGGCTTGGCTAAGCTTGGTCTTCAGATGCCTTTCCTGCCTCCGAGATTGGAATGCGCACGCCATATTTTAAGTTTCGGAGGCCGTGTTTGCTTTTTTAAAAGACGCGGTGATGGATGCCGTTTTTTCGTCTTCGGTCAGCACTATCGTCATCACATCGCACGGGGAGGAGGCGAAAGAAGGATTCTCTACCTGCCACAATGACATTTAAAGACTTCACTCGGATTCGCTCGCAGGATTTCAAGCTGGACGGTTGTGCCCTCGCGATCTCCGACATCAGCGTAGCTCCCGCCGACTGGTTCGCCCTCCGCGGTCTTCTGACGCCGTGCAGCTCTCGCATTGTGGCACCCCGCCCTTGGACTGCTTCGACCGGATCCCCACTTTCCTATCTCCTTCTTTTTCTCTCGCTTGGCTGTCTTCTTCTCCGTCTATTTTCCTTCTATTCTTTTTATCCCTCCTTCCCCCCACCCCTATAAGGCACTGCGCCGTGTCACCTGAAGGCAGACAGAAATTAGGTGCCTTTTTCCTCTTCATTCTAACCACTACCACCACCACTTCACTCGTGCGGACGACGACATTGTTTCGTGCGCGGAGGCCACTGACGACAAAATTCTTCGCCAGGTTGTCCCGGAGCCGGAGAGCGGCTCGGATGACGACAACGACGACCGCCCGCAGCCGTCGGCGGCGGAGATCGCCAACGCGGTGACAATTTTGTCGAGCGTTTACGGCGACGATTTCACCTTGGCGCAAATACGGGCAAACCAAATTGCCTCCAAGCGTAGTTTGAGGCTAGGCAGCATCAAGGACTTTTTTTAAACCTGCCTGATGCAATAAACTTCAGATTTTTGGCGAAAACGAATTTTTCGGACTGTTCGATTTTTCGTTCTTTTTTTCTGTCCCCGCCAGGTCCGAAAAATCGGTTGGCGACTGTATTTCATTGTGGCTTTCATAACTAGAACATGAGAAATGTGATGGGCAAACTGGATAGTTGGTGTTAATACTAGAATGGACCATAAGTGCTGTTTTATAACGTGTTAGGGTAACCATGCTGCACGCTTTTACTAAGAGCCAGCACAAACACGCCTTTTTTCGCTGCCAGGACTGCTAGAGCATTGCGGGGTGCGCACCGCTTGTAGAACACTCGTCATCGCTGTGTTAAGGGGGCAGACTGGTCTTTGGGGCCAAAAAGTGACAAAAAAAGTTCATTTTTTAAAATTGACATATTTGGTTACTGCAGGTATTTTTCTATCTCTCTGCAAATTTTCACACACCAGGAAGTGGTAATTTTTTTGTAATGTCATTCTAACTGTCCAGATTCTTGCTGCTGTTAACATGCAGAACCTGCAAAAAGATGGGGAACTGACTTTGAGGCTTCTCTATAATTGGCCGGCACCTGTTGGAAGCTCTGCTATGAATTTATGAGCTCCTTTATGAGGATTGCAAAACATGCACACCATGATTGTTGCTTTTAGAAGCTGTGTGTTTTCAGTTTTTTCCATTTTTCTCAAAAAAAGTAAATTTGCGACAGTTCAATTTTGAGGCTTCAATATCTCCGTAGCTAGGGCAGGTACAACAATAATTTAATAATTCTTTTTGCAGTGGAAACCTGTGTGTGCATAGAATGCAAGTATGGGAGCATAATTAAGAGCACAAGCCTTCTTACTTAATTACTCATCAAAATTGTAACACAATTCAACTGCTTTTGAAAATGGATAGTTCGTTTTGCTGTAAAATAACCAACAAAGGCATAAAAACAAAAAACTCTTGCATACTTTCACTCTATAGTCATTGGTCTATGTTGGCATATATTAAATATCACTTCTAATGAAGCACTTTTTTTATATTGCGGCCTAAACAGTAGGGGGTGAACTTAAGTTATCTCAGGAACAAGATGAGTTACAGGAAAACTAATTAAATATTTGAAATCAGCAGAAAAACTGTATAATCCTGGGAGTGAACTTAAGTTATTTCAGGAACAAGATGAGTTACAGGAAAACTAATTAAATATTCCAAATCAGCAGAAAAACTGCATAATGCTGTGCTGTTTGATCGAGATCACTGAAGAAATAAACAAAAAATGACTGACCAGTCTGCCCCCTTAAAAGAACAGGCTACTTGCCGCACCTGTGCACGGTCTGAAGTGGAGTGTGCATATTCTACAGCAAGTAGATCGGCAGTCACGGCGTGCAGTGAGAAGGTTAAGCGCTGCATGCAGCTAGCCAGTAGACGATTTGTCTCTGTGCCATTTTTCACTTAAAAGCAGACCACGGAACACGTGTCACGGACAGCCGGTTATGTCCGTTGTGTCGGAATGCCACGCTGCGTATTCCGGACCCCGCATGTAGTTTAAAAATGCACCTTGTCGTCGCTGCCGTGTGCTATCAGACGGTTGTGCGAAAGTGACACTCTTTTCTGCACATTGGAAAGGAGAAATGACTTTGTGGTGGGAACTTGGGCAATATCTGATTTGGTACAGTAGTTATTTCTTCATTGGCGACGATGGTGCACGCCAGGAGATGCGAACTTGAAGCTGGTGGTTACAGGAGATGCGAACTTGAAGCTGGTGGTTATTGCGTAGTTATACTGGCATCCCGGGCAGGCACTTATTAACGAGGTTTCCCTGTACAACTAAAATTGCATTTCTCTTTTGTGGCTTTTTTAAGGTGTTTTGCCTTCTGTTTCATCTGCATTTCGTTGTCTTATGCTGTCATGCACTCCCTTCCGCCCCTTGCAGCACCGTCGCCGCGAACGAACAGCATTCTCTCTGAGGACGAGGAGAACCAAGAGGACAACCGGTGGAAGTGCTCGAAGTGCACTTTTCTCAATCACCCGGCCCTGGAGGCCTGCGAGCTTTGCGAGATGCCCAAAGCACCCTCGTCAGGTAACTGGGGTCTGCGGTACCTGAATCTGTCGCCCGATCAGCGTTGCTATTGCCACATGCATCTTCAGCGCGCGTGATGAGCTACAAGGCCCTGCTCGAGTGTGACGCAGTGGAGAACACCTTAGACGGACGTACTTTTACTGCAGTAGTTGAGTTGAGTTCATGCACGTTTCAGTGGAGTTTAGTAATCACTGCAGCCACTTGACTGTGAGATGTGCAGGAACTGCATGGGCTCTAATGAACCAGACAGAAGTCACGTTTGTCTTTTTGTTTAAGTTGACTCTCATTAATTCAAACTCGAAGGGGCCTCTGAATTTTGTTTGAATTATCAGAAGTTCAGATATATGAATCTAGGCTAGGTGATACTAGACATTATGATTAGGCATTGATTTTATCACATTTAAAAGTTTTTAAGCGTTTTTGAACCCTAACTGCATGCAATGAACAGAAGGCAGAGGTATAAGGTCCACAAGTTTATTGGTTATTTACTGCTGATCAGACCTTTAAAAGAAATCATTAATTGCCAACTGCTTCTTTGCTATAGGTATGTGCCTTCAGCACAAAGCTCTCTATACTTTGAGAAGTACCACTTGAGAAGTACCACAGTTTATCATGCATGTGTTTCGTCTCAAACATTTGTTTACTACCAAAGCCTTTTTTCCTTAAAGGCCTGAGGCACTTATTTTTCATCTTTAGGCATTTAGGTTTATATAAGCATGCAAATTTTCAAATAGTAGCAGAAAAGCAGCCAGTTTCTCTGGTATGGAATGGCAAAAAGTATGAATTAACCAGTTGCTTAAAAGGCCTTTAATTAAATTCAATTAAACACATTTAAGAAATAGAGGGCCAACCAAAAAAATTGAATTTTGTTTGAATTAAGGGAAAATCTGAATTATAGTTTGAATCATCACGAGTATACTATATCTCATTACATTGTTGTTGCTTAATCGAATATAAACTTTTTGTATGTCTCTTAAAGCTACCTGCTATGTTTGAGGTCCTCCGAAGAATTTGAAAGGATGGAGGTCAAACTAAGCTATAACAATGCAGTCAAACCTCGTTATAACAAAGTTGAAGGGGGAGTTGTAATTACGTCATTATAATCATTAGTTCGCTATAGCCAATATTCATTTTTACCGACAATAGCCAGCAAGAGAGAATGTGCACACCAACGAATATCACAGCAGCCCGCCACGCAAAGAAAGACTGCCATCGGAAGGCAAAAAATAGCAAAATAACAAAGAACAATGCACTTTTTTTTTCACCGAGTTCAGCACACCAGCTGGCAGATCATTTCGAAGAAAAATAGTCCTTAATAGATGTTAGCCGACTTTTCCTCATGTGGGTGAATGATTTTTCAGCTTCAACAGCTATTTAGAGTCCGTCCTCGCCATCATCGTGAACACCAAAGAAGCGGCACAGCAAGTCTGTTGCATCCAGCGCTTGCGCAGGAGTCGGTATGTCGGGTTCGCCAACATTAAGCTCTGGGGTGTCGAGACATTCGTCACTGTCGTCATGCATGCCCGTCACCTCGGGCGCAATTTCCGAAACAACTCTTCGGTTTTCACCGCCTCAGCATCGGCACCGACGTACATGTGTCGCAGTCAGGCCAATGCCTGAAATGCCAGAAAGTGTCGCAGTCAGGCACAATGCCGGTATCGAGGAGAGCGTCCCACGGCGTCTGGGCCTGGCCGCTTACGGCACCCACTAGTGACATCGCCTTAATCTTCGGCCACTTTTTTTTCTTTAGCCAGACTCAACGGCTTTCAACATTATCGACTTCTGCTCGAATGTAATATTTCTGCGCTTACGTTTGCCGCTGCTGTTGTCCATCTCGTGTCTAGCGGCAAGAACTGATAGAGGTAGTGTTGCTGTTCCCCGGCGAACGACAAGGAACAAAGCCACACTCTCCGCCGCCCCGGCAGGGCGCGAGGCCCCGGCGCGGATTTGAAGGAGAGAAGGAGGTCAGATGCGCGGGATAGTCAACCATTTCTGCAGGAGACGGAAGGCCAGCTGACGTGCACGTTCGCCCGAGTTGCTGCGCAGGGGTGTCCATTAGAAAGGGAAGGCAGGCAGACAAAAGGAGGCAACACGCGTGTTAGCAGGCAACACCCGGGGAGCGCCAGGCGCGAGTTTTGAATCACCGCTGCCGTGATGAGACGTAAACTGTCCCGCGCTATAAGATATTGAATTGACGTATACCAAAATGATCAGTAAATGCTCATTGCGAACGAAGAATGGTTCATTATATCTATTTCTGAGAAAATTTTTGCTTCATTAAAATGGGGTTTTAAGTACATGGGCGTCTATGGGAACTTCAAGGGGAATTACAATTGCTTTGTTATATCTATTAGTTTGTTATATCTCACTTCACTATAACAAGGTTTTACTCTATTTACTCAATTTCAACATGCATCATCTTTCTACCAAAACAAGTTCGAAAATTGCCCGTGCATTGCAATAAAGTAAATAACTTGCTCCACATTTGTGGCGTTAGTAGCAGCCTCCCAGTTTGGGAGGTACGGGGGTCAGATGTAGCATTGTCGGTGTCGCAAAATGGTGACTGGGCATATATCGTTCTAGGTTCGCGTACGTTGATTTAATGCTTGACAGCAACCTTTGCGCATCCTATCTGTTTCCTGTGAAGTGCGAGGGGTGATGTTTTGCTTTCTTTATTGAAAGCTCGCGTCAAACGAAATTGATTTTTCACACTGAAGATGGCAGTGGTGAGTGTTCCCTGTGTGCCCTGAGTGAGGCTTGTGTACGATAGTGGCATAAACAGAGGAAGATCTGCATGTTGACCAGGAGATGTTGCTATGGGCTGAAAATTGGGAAATTATCTGGACCTCGAAGAGCAACTTGTATGTCAACTTTGTGTTAAACTTGCTTGTCAAAGTAGATTAGGCGCTCACGATCGAGGCATACCAAGAATTGATATTAAAGAAAAACCGGACCTTAAAAGAAAGAACTTACAAAGGGAATAAATTTTTCATTCTACGAAGGCACAATGTGCTTCTGCCTGCCCCAATGTTCTATGTATGTGTGATTGGCATCGTTGTGCTATGTCATAGTTTAAAAATGTGCTAGCGATGCTTTCAGGTGCACTTTTATTTTGAACCCATGAAAATTAGATGAACGTCTGATTTGAGTAAATACGGTACGAAACATGTACATTCGGCACGGCCTTCATAAAGAAGCTTGTACTTCCCACCATCCTCATGCTACTCGGTTATGCCATATTAGCAGTTGCAGGCACCGGTGCAAACTTGTCCTTACAGCAATCTCTATCAAGCCCCACATTGTTGTGAATGTCGAACTAGAGTAGTAGCTGCTTATATAAATGTAGACTTGCAGGGTAGGGTTGTTTCTTTGTACATAGCAAGTGATTGGGATTTTGATGGATGTTTGAATTTATTTCGAGGTCCAAGTAGTTGTGTTGCTTGATGTGTGTAAATAAGTTTTGCTGGGAAAACAGTTCAGTAGAAACCGGCACATAAGCTAGAGTCGTGTTCTTCTAGGGCATGTATGTATTTGCTGTGCGCACAAAGAGTTCTCATTCTTGAAAATATTTATAGCAATAGAAAGAGCTCGAAAGCACAAGTTTACCCAGGCCCTTACAATGTCCACACCAGTGTTAAGGCATATTTCGCATTGAGGACGTTTTCATTAAATTACATGTTTGCTCATTGCACACGCTTTTCGTTTCTCATAAAAATTATTGTTTATAAAGGTCAATAATCTGTTTGGGTTATCAGGGCATCAATCCTAAAGGGCCAGTGAACAGGCCTAGACTTTATTTTTATACACCTACTGCAACGCTCTTTCATTTGCAAAAAGCGCCGCAGCAATCACGTTTTGTTGATATCACAGCACTTTTTAACCATGTAAAAGCTGTATTTAAAAAAAAAAAAATTTTCGCGCTCCTCTTCCATGCCTGATTAATCTTCTTTGCCCACCCGAGGGATTTGATGTTGCCCACGGGCACTGTTCAGTAGTACCGACCCCGTCGATGGGCTCTTCCCATTTATCAGAATGCGCCCTGGCCCCGCGGTGATGTGGCTTTGGCCACACAGCTGTCTCGTGTGTTGTGTGTGTCTGTTTGCCGCATCATTGCCTCACATTGCACTTCCTTGCCATGGAAGAAGCCTTGCTCGGCCGTTTGCTTCGTTCCTATGACATGATTGCTGATGTCATGTTACATTGCCGATAGGAGTGTAGTTACGACGACAAGCTGCACCTACCCTCAGTGCTGCGAGTAACCTGACCAAATGAAATGGTTACTTTAACCCCTGTAACTTTGTTACCACACCACTTATTGTCAAAATTCTTGTGGCAGCATATTCATATTGCACAAGTTGCTCTATCTAAAATTGCTTCATCACAAATTTTGGACTGCAGAAACATTCATTGACCCTCTAGGGCCAGTAAACAACCTCGCGGTCCAAAATTTCTGATTGAAAGATAACTGCGCACAGTATAATATGAACATGTGGCCGTAAGAATTTACAAGGTAAGTGCTATGATAAGGGAGCTCCGGGGTGCAGAAAAACCTGCATCGGCTCGTTTCAGTTCTTCACACCACCTTCCCATTTTTATTGGCAGCAAAAAGTGGTAGGCTTCAACCGCTCTTTGTCTGCTGTTGTGAAGGCTCGTCGTGACTTAGCCTACCTCAATGACGTAACGTCCACTTCGGTGGAGCAGTGTTTATGGTGTTTGGCTGCAGACCTGAAGGTAGCAGGTTCAATACCAGCCACGACATTTAGGTTGAGGAAAAATGGTAGAGGTTCGTGTACTGTGCGACGTCAGTGCACGTTAAAGAACGCCAGATGGTCGAAATATACGAAGCCCTTCACTGTGGCGTCTCATAATCATATTGTGGTTTTGGGACGTAAAACCCCAAATATAATTATTCCACGATGTAACGTGTTGTCAGGGATTATGCCTTTGGAGCGTAGCCAATGTCTGAGCGCGGCTTCCCGTACCTGTTACTCATGTCAGAGCGGTACAGTGAGGCAGTGCAGGACGACGGATGCGAAGTGCTGCCTGGGCAAACGACATGCCATAACATATATTCCCTTTCCCTAGTGGTAATGTTAGAAGATGCCTCTTGATCTTGAAGGCTTCCGTTCTGGCGATACCACTTGTTCCAGTGGTCTTTGGTTGCCCCACCGCAGTGGTCTAATGGCTAAGGTGCTCGGCTGCTGACCCTGAGGACGTGGGACCGAATCCAGGCTGTGGCGGCTGCGTTTTGATGGAGACGAAAATGCTGTAAGACAGTGTGCTCAGATTTGGGTGCACATTAAAGAACCCCAGGTGGTCGAAATTTCCGGAGCCCTCCACTACGGCGTCTCTCATAATCATATGGTGGTTTTGGGACGTTAAACCCCACATATCAATCAATCAATCACTGGTCCTTGGTCTACCAAAATGGCAGAGGGCAGCACAGAAAAATGCAGCCTGCACACCTTAAAACTGCCTCACTGCAGGGGCCAAAGGGCCATTTCGTAGTACAGAGGACCAATCTGCAAAGTCAGAGCTAGGTAATGTTGTCTATGGGCAAGGTTACATCACTGTGTGGGTGAAAAGGACTGGGTCAGGCACAGGAGTGGGGCACGGGAGTTCTTGAAATGAAAGCCTGCTTGCCGGGGCTGTAGCACTGGAATATGTATTCACAAAACGTAATCGCCGCGGCATTCTGCAAGAATTGGCAAGCTTGTCTGAGAGGTGTAAAAGAAAAAAAAGAAGTCTGAAACTGGTTACTGGCCCTTTTACCAATGCCCATGCTCAAGGCAGTCTGGATGTTAGTGTTTACGCAACAAAACACGTGATCTGTATACGCATGTTCATTGTTGGCATCTGTGTGTTAATTTTGTCACTAACGCAAGATACGGTTGCAGAGTTTTGAGCAGTGCTTCCTGTCATGTCACCCGGCACAGTTGCTAGCCAGCTGTCACTCTTTAAATACTGGTTGACTCTGGCTATGACTTACACTAATAAATTGACACAGCAGTTTGCACATAACATTTTGGAATAGATTAAATTTTTGTACCTGAAGTCAATTTATTAGTACTTTTTGAAGCTTGCCTTGGTAGCTAGTGTTAGTATTCTGGCTGATTTGTGAATGATTTACAGTAGTTTCAATTAATTGGTACAGTGGCTCAATCTTAATGTTTTAATAAGTTGAATCTTGTACCTGAAGGCAGTTTTACAACTTTGTTTCGAAGCTTGCACCGGGCCTCTGTTGCCATAGCAGTGTGCTGCATTGCCAAAAGAAAGAAAAAAAAATTGTATGTGTTACAAGGCACAAATGTACATTTATAATTGTTTTCACAATACTCCGGTCAGATTTTAGAAATCTTGAAAGTGAGCTAGGACGTGCGTACAATTACCAGGTACCTATTAGAGTAGGGGTGTTGCACAATGATGGCACTTGTAATGCATATCGATTGCAATGGTATTTATCTGTCTAGCACGCAGTTTGTGATGGTAAATGTTGACTTCTGAATATGCAGCTGCTAGTTGCACTTAGCAGTGTTGTGTATTAGCCCCCAGAAAAAACAACTTCAGGGTTGCTTTAACGATTGTTCAAGTCTTACACTTTTATAGTGTAATACTTTATACGCCAGCTCAGTATTGATTTTTGAGGGCCACTACATAATTCCCTGGGGCAACAGGTCACAGTAAAGTTTTAGTAAGCAGTCTTTGGCTGCACTTGTATTTATATTGAAAAAGATTTTAGTGTTCAGTGCAAGTCCACTCACTCGTATCTTCAGGAAGGAATACTGGTTATTGCTTGAGTACCTGAATAATTTATTATGTATGATGCACCTGTTTCTACAAAACACTCTGTTTTGTTTATTAGGGGGAATGTCATGCATTTCATCCATTTTTGTAGTCACTGTGATCGTTCGCACACAGGCTTTAGTCAGAAGCGTGGGCTGTGCATTGGTTTTTTTTTTTATGTACCACCTTCCTAATAGTTGCACAATGTCAGAAAATGTGACTTGTCCAAAGCATTTCGATAATGTTGATGATGCCAAGCCTGATATTGAGACATTTTTAGTGTCAAATTTTAGTGTAATAGCATCTGGGTAAATGTAAAATAATGTGCATAATTGTAATTTCAATGAAGCACAGTCCCTAAGTTAGTTGGTTTTGTATTTGGGAAATGCAAGAGAACAATAACCTTTATCAATTACAATCAAAATTTATGCATCTGTCTGTAATAGACAACTGGCATTGTAAAAAAAACATTTATCAATTGCAATCAAAATCTATGCATCTATCTGTGAATGGACCACTGGCACTGTTGATGCTCCTCGAGGAGCACTGTTTTGTTGTACAAACTAGATAATTTCTTTCATGGAAAGAACAAATTTGAGAAAAGAATCTCCATGCTTCTTTCTTACGACGGAGCACCATCCTTATAAAAACACTTGCAAGGAATGAATAACGTATTTTCAGTCACCAACCCCATCTTGCTGAGTTAGAGACCAATCGGGATGCACCCATTACGTACAATGACATAACAAAGCACTTTTACCTTGAACGCCGCATTTTTCCACCCCCACATCCGAAACTTAACAGACCGCAGGCATTTACTCTACGCCTATTACAGCCACACACGTGTCCAAACCTTGCCATGCTTCACGTTTATTATCGTGATGCATACCCCAGCGACACATGCCCATCATGTGGGCACATGGCGACAGTCACACACATGCTCTGGGAGTGTAGAACAACTTCTAACGACTCTACTTCAAACAAGTGGGAGAGGTCCCTCAGGAGCTCACTTCTCGCCGACCAGCAATGGGCCGTCCAGCAGGCCCACAAAGCGGCCGCCAGATACTCCCTGTAGGTCCCTACGTGGGAGACGCCTGCTAAGCGCGTCCTGCAGGACTGAAATAAAGTTTTTTCGTTCCTTTCCATTTCAGGATTTACTTTTCACCAAGTAGCCCATTCTAAAAATGTTAAGATTGTGGGACACGCAGTGCTGCACTGCTGCACATCTTACACTGTAGCCAAAACTTTTGCTAAGTTCAACACATCTTCCTGGTCTATTGAGACTTAATTCAACGTGATTATAGTGCTCGACGTTTTGAAATCTTTATTATTTCTGTTACCTTTTATTTGCACGTGATGGGCATGTTTACTTCCTACAAGTATGAATATTTGTCTCAGCATTACCCATGAATAATCATCTGCCTTATTTTATATAAAAGAGTCCCGTAGTGGCCTCTAACACCGTCATACCGTTTCTTTTGTTTTTAGATCTTTCGCTGTCATGCTCATCACAATCTTAGTGTTCCAGTACAAACAGGGCAAAGCCTACAAAAAAGCCTGTTGATTAATAATGAAATTGCAAACTTGATCATTATTCCTCTGAAGGAGGCGGTGGGAAAGCAAAAAACTGAAGTCAGAATTTCAATAGTTGTTGTAACATAGTGAAGTTCGGAGAAGGAGTATGGAAAAAAAATAAGCTGTAATATCCACTCCTTGGTTTCCCTAGCTCAGGGGTTGGCAACAAACTGTATTGGTAAAGCCTCTTCCTAAATTGCACCCCTGTGACATGCGTGCTGAAAATAAAAACGATTTATATTCTAGTGTGCATTATTATTGATTCACCAATTTTTTTTTCTTTGTCTGCAAGCCCCACCCCCCTCAAATTTGTTGTCTGCCCCCCACCCCCCACTACACCATGTCAGTTTCATACAACTCAGGCCACTACCCCAAAAGATTGCCAGCCCCTGCTTCAGTATATAACCAGCCAAAAGTGACTTAGCATGTGCAACACGTGGATTAACTTTGAAGATACAAATATCGTTTCTGAAGAATAGATGCACTCTTTGCTTTGGTGATCTGAGGAAGCTAATGTATACCCAGCATTCTGTTACCTGTTCATGAAGTTTGGATTTACTGCCTCAGCTGGGCAGCCTTCGCTCATGCCACCGCAAAACAGTATTGCTGGCAGTGTCAGTGCTGCATGTTGTGCTACATTTTCAACTCTTGTAACATTCTTGTCATTTTCCTGTTTCTCCTGAAACATGCTGAGCAAACATAAGGCAAAAGGTGTAAGTACCACTTGTTCAATGACCGTCTTATTTATGTCTTGTTGATTATAATGCATCGTTGCATATCTGCTTGCATTTACACTAAATTCATGCGACAATTAGTTTCCTGTGCCAGCTCATGCATGGAAGCCCTTCTTGTGACTTGTCTTTATGACTGGACTTCGAGATGTTCATTTTATAAGATGTGATACTTTAAGAGAAGCTCACTGCATCTGTAAAACGCGAGAGTTACTTTTGAAATCCAGCATTGTCCGTGACACTCCGAATGTGTGACAAAATGGCAAAATCTGTATTAATACTATAGGGATCGCTTGATTCTCATTATGCTGTGTGGAATATAGTTATTGATGTTTTTCTTTCCTGTTTCTCTTAACAGATGTGTGACCAGTAACAATCCCACCTCAAGTATTCATTGCCAGAAGACGGCAGACATCCAGGGCGTTCGCACAAATTACAGTGCCCTGCTTCTTGTCTCACTGGTGGTGCGCATCTTGCGGAAAAGCATTGTACAGTTGAACTGTTGAGCTTTTTGTACATATTGTTTAAGACATGCCAGTGATGCTTTGGTGAAAGATGATCCCGTGAAGCTTAAGTTATAAAGTCTGAAGAGATAACTGTGAGGTTCGTGCATTCCATACGTTTGTAGCGACTTGATTCTCTGTTCTTGATGTAATGTATTTGTCTTTGTTACACGTGTATGATAAATAAACATTACTGCATTGAATCCTTTTGTAGTAATGCTAGAGCAATGTTTTTCATCGAGCCTCCAATTCTCAAGGTGGGACGAGAGAACCCCTGAACAGGTCTCATTGCACATACTACTGGTTGGGCACTGCAAGTTGTAATGCACCTGATATCTACTGCATAGTTTTACATAGAGGGGCCCTGCAATACTTTTTTAAGTAGCCATCAAATGGATTCACTAAAGGAGCTTATTGCCTCACGAATTAACCAGCACAAACATTTTTAAAATTTGCCCAGTACAAATGAAAATACAAAGATTTGTCGCACGCTTCTCTCATCCCGACAAAAGTGCTGGAAGTTAAGCAGTGAGGGATGGATGGAGAAAGAAAAAAATATCACTTGCACCTCGTGACTTTGAGAATTTTTTTTTATTTCCTTCAAATACGCAGCTTTTCAGTGCAATCCCGTACGTGTGTGTGGACAAGCACTGCCTTCTGCAACGACTCAAATAAGGACCAATCGAGTGATGCTTAAATCGGCTGACACAATGGCTGTGATATGTGACTTTTTAGCTGGTATCATCATTCGTCAAGAAGAGAGGAAGCAATTTTTAGCTGAATTTGAGAATTGATTGTGAATTTCTGGCTGCGTGCTGCGCTATAATATTAAGGTCGCGTGTTCTCAAGAGGCTTGACTACCGATTGGCAGCGTTTTCTGACCATGCTCGAAAATTGTTGTGGGGCCACTTTGAAGAATGTCTGAAATTTGCTCTCATTAGAGAATTTACTGCTTGGAGGAAGGCTTCACTGCCAACAAAAACAACCATGTTTGCCTCTGCAAGTCTTGTTCTTTCCTTTCTCATGTGTACCACAGTCTATTATAAGCCGTGAATTTTTGCGACGAGCCTCGCTTTTAAATTGAATTGAATTGATTCTGCAACAAAATTATGAGTATGACCAGGCAGAAAAACTACACTGATCAATATAGTCTACGAGTGTAGTGATGTGGGCTTGTTGGTGCATGATTGAAAGGTAGTTTTTTAACGCTGGTGTGGAAAAGGACAAATAGAGGCACTGGACACATCGGTGCTACTCGCCACAATAGCGAATATAGTGCCCATGTGCCTAGCGTCTCGTCCTATTGCCCTCGTCCACACCAGCGCCAAGAAGCTGTCCTTCTACTGCATGGAGCAGGGGGAACCTGGCCCCCTCATATTCTGGGAAGATTCGCAGTGATCAAACAGAAGCACAAGGTGTACGTAATGCATGAACTAAAAGAGTTGGCAAACACTGTCAGGGGTAATAAACAAAGTGTTTTCTTGTGTTTTACTATTTCACTTTATAGAACACTTCCAAATGTAGCGTTGCAGATTAGAAATATCCCAACTTCTAATGTTGCGGCACTCCAAACAGCTTTGCCTGGTTTGGTGCCGCTCACCACATTTCGGAATGCTCAAACCTAGTTGGCGCCCATTAAAAACATGCATAGTAAACAATGCAGAGAAGACCCTTTCACAATTGATACATAAACACAACCTGAGGTATATTTATTGGGTAGAGTGCACTTCTGCTTTAACAGTGAGTGTAACGGTCTGAGCGTCATCATCCGAGGAAAAGCTTTCACCACGACATTCGTCGGAACCCCACTGCTTCTTTTTGTCTTGCACGAAATAGACTGATGGTTGAGCGACATTGTGACGTATGTTGTAATCAACTTCATCCGCGACATGTGACCCTGTTTCGCTGTGTGCAGATTTGTCGCCAGAGTTATCTGTGCTACTATAAGATTCAAAGCTGTTAGAAATGGTGCCACTCTCGTGCCTTTCGTTGCTTACTTGCGTCGAGTCATGACTACTGGAAGCAGCGTCGCCTTCTATTTGTTCGCCAACATATTCCGACTCTGAAGTAGGAAGTTGAGACTGTGCATCAAATGTTTCCGAGCTATAATTTGTCTCATTTGAATAAAGTTCTTTTTCGGCAGCATCCGCAATCTCGTCTTGCGTAGGTTCGCTAGATTCTTGACTTGGGCTGCGCCTTTCGTCATCACTGATGCTGTGCTCTTCTTCGCTAGATACAACGGAGTTCGTACCACCGTCATCTACACTTTGTTCAAAACCGTCCACAGTTTCAGAACTACTAGTAATGGGGCTGCTGAGGCCACTTGATTCCTTTGGCGTACTTCCAGGAAATGGTGTGTGTTCCTCCGTCGGCAGTTCTTTAAGCCTCTTCTCAAGCATGCACCGGTAGCAGGGGTTTCCGCCTTCAAGCTTTGCAAGTGAGAAGCGACCTTGAGAGCCTCCCAGTCTCGTACCCACGTTGTATCTGTACTCGCAACAGCTGCTGAGCTGGACGTCTCTGATGTCGTTGAGGAAGATGACAATGCTGAACGGGTAGCCGCAGTGCCTCCGGGATGCGAACGTGAACGTCTCGCCCGGAGTCACCTGACCGGCGAAGACTGTTAAAGACGTGCCTCCACAGTGCTGCTGAGTGACCCTGATCACCGACTGGTGCGCTTCGGTGATCCTCGACCCGGACCCTCGGAACAGAAGCGAGACCCTGCAGTCTGACTTCTTGGGAAAGTGGTTTTTTGTGATCCCCAACTCTTCTCTGAAACTGGTCGGCGTCGATGGTGTTATGCTCGCCCTCCGGAGTGTGCTTCGAGAACCCGCTGCCGGCTGGCTAGGTCGCGGCATCACGAGCTTGCGTTTTGACGAAGGGTTCACGGGAAGCAGGTAAGGCGACACGGGCTCGCTGATAAGTGCCTTAGGAGGAGGAGCAACAGAAGTCGAGGACCCACCTCGGCAGGTCGCGCAGGTGAGGTCCGCATTTCTCGAGCCTACGACGACTCCACTGTCCCCGGAACTAGTCGTACTCGTGGTGTCCGGGCTTACCCGAGAGCCGGAGAGGGAGCAGGTGCAACGACGCGAATCGGGATCGTCGACGTTAGGGTTACCGTCGTGTCGGAGGCACCGCACCAAGCCGACGCGGGCCAATCGTTGCCTGACCAGGCTCTTGTGGAAGTGGGGCCTGAGGTGCTCGTCATTGAGGCTGTCGTAGGAGTCGATCGGGCCCGCGCACTTCTTATGCTTCGCAGCGACCATCCACATAATATACACGTGCGTGCGGCGGCCTCGCTCGTGCGTGCTGTCTGTTGTTGCCCGGCCGTTGCGCGGTTGCCAAGGAAACGTTATTTTGTGTCGCGGTATGCGCGATCTGCGCACGCCACTCGTCCGGCGTCGCAGACCGCCTGCCGACGAGGCGCGGTGTAGGTTGCGCGTATACATCTTTTTATGCGAGTGTTCGTAGGTCAGAAGCTCCTTCGCAGTGGCACATGCCGTCGGCCTGCGGAAAGTAGAGCAGTGCACGTTATTCAGCAGCATGACCTCTGCGCACTGCTGTGGAGGCCCCATTTCCTAATCTGCGCGAAACTTTCTGCCGACGTTAATAAAGCAACTCAGTGTACCGTTGTGTAACGACCATGCCGCTTTGACACACACACAAGGCTCCGGCGCAGCGAATACAGCCGCGCTTAAACTGGTCGTTTTAGGTGCGTGAGTCGAACATTCTACGTTAACGGCCTTTTTATTATTGTTACTTTTTTATCAGTCTTTCATTAGATCAACTAGCGACTGAAGTAAATAATTGGTGCCCTTTATATCAAGCTTTACACAAGTCAAACTGCTTCGCTGTTAAAATGAAAACTTTGGTTGCGAGTACTCCGCCTCAAATCACTTAGGCTTCGGAGTGAAGCCGCCTGTTCATGACTTGCAGATATATATTTAAGTGCCCCTGGTGGTCGAAATTTCTGGAGCCCTCCATTACGGCGTCTCTCGTAATCGTATGGTGGTTTCGGTACGTTAAACGCCACATATCAATCAATCGGATTTTCAAGAGCGCAGCAATTTAAGGGTCTGGGCTGTAGCATGCTGTCGTTGCGCGCGCTCGCGCCAAGGAGAGAAATTCCTCCTGTTCTTCGAGCGCGCTTGGCGTAACTCAGGCTGATCCGCTTATAGAAATCAAAAATAAGAGGAAGCAAGAGCAAAAGGGAAAAATAGAACAGGTTTAGAAATTGAGAATGAATGAGGTAAATAAAAGTAAAGAGAAAAGGAAAACCGAAAATAAGCAAAGATTGCTGCCCACTTCCGCACTTTCCTTCAGGTACTGCAGGATTTTGGCACTCCTAACGTGAAGCTGCCTTGTCAGTCGTCTCTCCATTTATAGCATTTTCCAGTTACGAGTGCTCTGCAGCTGGGCGCTTTTTCTTCGCTGTGAAGTCACCTGTTTACGCCTTGCAGTGCGTGTTTTGGAGCGTGGCTGCACCCGTTCCTGCTGCGAGCGGCGTTGGTGTAACAGACAATGAACGAAGACGAAAAATTATGCAAGATTGCTAAAATCATACCACTGCTTAAAAAACTGGGGGCTGGATATAATATCGACAATATAAGACTAATAGCATTAACATCATGTAATAAAAATAATTGAAAGGGTATACCTGGCCTTCATGGACTATAACATTTGTAAATGACCAACAGCTGTTGAGCCCCAGCCAAATTGGCTTTACATCTGGACATTCAATCTCCAATGCACACGTAGACCTCGAAAGCCGGGCTCACATTGCTCGGCATTAAAAAAAAAAAAAACAGTACGCTGCGTTAGTTACCTTATAGCCGTGACGTCCCCGCAAACACGGACTGAACCCCAGTCCTTTCAAGATGTTTTCGCTCGTTTCTTAAAACCACAAAAAAAAAGGAAAAGAAAACCTTCGATGTAACGAATGGGCATTCCGGAGTGGAGTACCTGGAAGGATTATTTCTACCGTTCTCACGGGCCCCCTGCACAAACACGAGGACCGGGCGGCGCCTTGTTGTCTACAGACAGTGTGACAGTGTACGGTGGAAATAATCCGCGCGCACCCTTCAGATTTGTGGCATGGGGGAGCAGCAGAGCACCTTTTGTTGGTTCGGGGAATGCGACCCTGCCGCAGCGCTTGTGCCGGGTCCGGCCTGACTTTCCGTCAGCCTCCGTGGCTCCAGGGCTCATTACTGCGTTCTGCGCGGATGACCACCCGCGGCGTTGAATGACGAGGAAGTGGCGGCTTCGGAGAATTTCGCGCGAGACACCGAGCTGCATGGAGACGTCGAGACTCGTTCTGGACATCGGCTCATCAAGTACCAGAAACCGGTGTAATTGGTTCGGCCGAAAGCATTTTGGCACAACACTGCAAACTCCGGACGTTGGCCATTACAGACGACGTACTTTGTCGGGAGCATTGAGACTATTGTTCGCCCGTAGTTCACGTGTCCTCGGACAACTCGCCTATCTCTCTCTCTCTCTGAGGCTTGAGTTTGTATATAGTTACTTGCTCGGCTTTGCTTGGGAGAGGGTTTTCCACTGGTGCGGGCCGCGGGGACGGCCGTCGAAGATGACACACACACCGACTGACAGAGAAATGTGTCGTGTCAACAGTGGCAATTGGTTAGGTGCCACGGAGGGGCGGAGTCGGGTCCTACGAAAAGGGACTACGAGACTCTGCACCGAGAGCCAGAGATACGATGCGATGAGCTCGAGATGGTAGAGAGACCGAATGGAAAAGGAAGATAACGGTGCGAAGAGATAGCGATGAGAGGCGATGAGATGATGACTGGGGCAAGGACGGTACGATGAGGAATGAAAGTTAGGGATAGGAGGCGAGTGAATGGAGCTTTACGAAAGAGGGCTAAGATGGAAATCATTGAGAGGTACGACGTAGGCGATGACGAAGACGATGAAGACGCCGACGAATTGGACAGATCAGACCTCGACGCCAAGAACCAACCTTCGGCCCCGATTCGAGCAGCCAACTCCGAGGCCCCGACTACATGGACATTCTGTGAGACGAACTTCACCTCCTTTACTTAAACGAGCTTTGCGGGAAGGGATGCGGCATATTGAGACATTGCGCGGTTTTATTAATTAATGACTTTATCATTTGTGTCGTCCTGCGTTTACTTTGTATCGTCGCACCATTATATTGTCAAGGCTATTTCCCTTATGTATCCTGCGTCGCACGTCGCGAGTGTGTAAATCATGTGTTATAATTTTGTGTAGTTTGATGTACGTGGGTATACGATGTTTGCAGTTGGTAATAAATTAAATGAATCAGTAAACAGAAACAGGTCGTAGCATCTCTCACTTCCCGGCCCCACCACGAATCCCTGTATGTGAGAAGTGATTGAGACATAGCCAAGAGGGAACCGGATAGACAAGGGGTGGAGTGGTCTTCCCTCTCTTTGGTAATCGGTGGCGTAGCGAGGGACGTCTCATAGCCATCAGTAAAGCATACGATAGTGTCGAACAGTCTGTATTAATGAATCGTTCACGGTGCCATGGACTCCCTTCTTATATCGTAGCATGGATGACAGAATTTTAAAAGAAAGAGAGTTTTACTGCGTTGAAGATGGTTTTTCTTCCTGCAAGCACAAGCAGACGCGAGGCGTGCGTCCCAGGGATCAGTACTTTCACCAGCATTATTCACCATCTTCATCTGTACTATTCCTATTCTATCAGGGGTGCAGACTTGTGTTTATGCGGACGACACTGCTTTTGACATGCATCGCCCACACGAAACTTTACAGTCGTACTTGAGTGAACTCGATAAGTGCATGGCTAGATGGACTGCAGTTAAGTCTTGTGCTATTCTGTTTTTTCCGGTTAACGATCCGGTGAGAATATAACTTACAAGCTGCAGGATATCCCGCAAGTGAAATCATTAAAATACCTCGAAGTCAGTGGCACGTACCGACTTTTTCGCGAGTGGGGAGGGGGGGGGGGGGCAAACCTACCTCACTCGTCTGCCGGAAACAGACTGAAGAATGGTGCCTTTAGCCCGATTTCCGCGTCCAAACTATTCGTCACACTCATCGGCTCGCAACAGTTTCGACAGAGCCGCGATGACGATATATCCTTTTTGAAGCAAATTATTTTCGGAAGCAGCAAGTGCTTTGTCCTGTCTTTAAAAAGTTTGCTCGTTCTCATTCCTAACTTCAACATTAAGTTGCTGCAGTATAAAAGCATGCACAAGTGATGTAATATTATAGGTTCCCTGCTCAGCGCTTGCCTGTTCTTCAATACTGTAGCACAAGACGCAAAGGCGTCGCATAGGTGACCCGCACCACAAAGAGCCGACTAGGAAAATCATCACAGAGGGAATGTTGGCAAAATTTCACTCTGTTGTAACATTGCCTCGTAACATTTTAATTCTCCCATAAGAACATGATTGAGCGATTACTGTTGTGACAGAAAACTTCACCTTATTTGTTGATTTCTTCAGCGTGCAGCAACAGTGACCACTATCAAAAGAGAGAGGGGGGGAGGGGCTCAGCTTCCTAACTTTTCTCAGTGGGGGGGCTCGCGCCCCCCTTGCCACCCCCCCCCCCCAGGATGATGCGCCTATGCTCGGAGTCATATATAACGAACTACTAAACTGACAAGCTCATATTTAATATATCGCAACAAAAAGAGCATGGGCAATGTGTATTGCGCAGGCAGCCGCAGATCGGGTATGAGAAGAAAAACACTTTTGATGGTCTACAAAATGTTCGTACGACCGGTATTGGAATTCGGCTGTGTTATTTTTTTTTTCGGTGTGCCAGCATACCAGCTTCGGGCACTAGTCCTATTAGAGCGAGAGGCTTTAATTACGGCTGTGCTTAGGCCTTCTAAAATACGTGGCGAATGCAGTACGTGTATTATACCTGGAAGCGATCGAGAACACCGCCCCAGTTAAGCCGATTTAACCTACTTACAGTGCCGACTTTCTTACGGTTGCACAAAACACTGTCTAACCATACTCAAAAAATTTTCATCTCCAATCCCGATATATTTTTCTCCGAGTACTGGTCTAGATTCCGCAAGCTACAAATCATATTTGTACAAACGTTACTCGATTCCCTGAATGTACAAATTCGTTATGTGCGTTTTTTGAGCATGCAACCTCAATTCACAGACATTGTCTACGATGATATTTTTCCGAACCACGCGAAATTATTACCTCACGGAATTTTAAATGGACTATTACAAGAGCATCTAAATAATCTGCCAACGATCGTGGTTATTGCAACAGGCGCATCGCAAACGGAGGAAAAAGCTGGCATAAGAATTTTCTGCCCCCAACTTGACTGGTATTTTTCTTTACGACTGCCGGATTTTATCCCAGTTTTTATAGCTGAATTTATGGGCATAATATTAGCTCTCCAAAAGTTACCCAGTTTAAATACAGTAGTAGCACTGTGTGTTCTCTCTCTGCATCTGGTGAAACACCTTTTCTAAAGCTTTTCAGTATACTAGTACCCGCGCACCTACGATTTCTCCACTTAATTTGGGTAGCAGGACACTAGGGTCGCTGATTCTATAGCAAAGGCGGCGCTTTTGATGCCAATCATTCGCGGTTTTCCCACTGACAACATACATCACAATTGCACGATTCCGCACCCTAACTTTCACAGAATACTTAACAGACGCTGTCGTGACAGCTTCTCCAGATTATAAGCACCTATTATTTCCCTGGAAGTGAGTTATCGCGGTCGAGAATAATGGAAGTGGCCATAACCAAGCTACGCTGCCGGGTTACCTCCCTCAACTTTTACCTGCATATAGAGCAGGTCAAGCGTTGTCTCCTCCGCGTTTCTTGTGTAAAGAGGAGGAAACAATCAGTCATTAATTTCTATCCTGTCGATGGTATACATCATTGAGAAGAATATTCATAGCACCACCTTTTCGAAACTTGGGTCTGAAATACCCGAATTAGTTGTTCTATCATTTGGCGCCTCTACTCTAGGCTACAGTCACAGGGATGTTTAATACGCCATAGAGGAATTTATAAGTCAGACTAAAATAATATCGAGCTTAATTTTTCATCCTTTTAAACATTTAAATATTAATGTTCAGTAATAATTTGTTGTGGTACCTATCCCTAGCATGTACGAGTAGTAATGCGAAGAAACACACACGCACAAAAATTCACCTAACACTCGGCCAATCCCCTGCATTGGGTAAGAACCATGAGAATAGAAGAAAAAGAAGAAGAAGAAGGGAACCCTGATGGGATGCGAAGCAGCAGCGGTGCGCACGCCGTTGACCCGGCTGAAACGGCGTTGACGCAGGTGCTGGAAGAACGGCTTGAAGCGAAACTCTGTGTAGCCTTTACTCGAGCAAACGCTTTTTAAAACGCAAAGACACGGGAGGCGGGTTGGGTTCCGTGTAAGTTTCATCGCAGATAAACGAGCCGAAAGAATGTTTCCACTCGACGTGTGGCCAGGCGTTGGAGAGGGTGAAGCGATAGAGAAGTGTGTTGCGAGCGGGTGGAGGAGCAACACCACCTAGGCACTGCGCCGTGCTCCCGACCGGGTTGCAGAAATTAGGTGCCTTTTCTCATCTTCTAACCACTACCACCACACCACCTAGGTGTTGCTCCTCCAGGCAGCTGCTGCGGGTGAGGGGGAGAGTGACGCCAACGCGCAGCTACGACATGACTTAAGTAATACTCGGCATTGTTTCGTGCGCGTTGGCACGGAGACACGGACGGACAGCGCTACACGGGCTAGACAAAAGAGATGCTTCGCATCTAAAAAATCGCAGCATATCCACGGAGTGAATGATGGTGAGTGAGGCGAAGCTTCCATTCGTCCGTGTGCCCATCCTTCTGTGCATCCGTCCGCCGGACGGAAGCACGAACAGAAGCGCGGAAGGACGGATCGACTGACGCACGGATGGACAAAAGCAGCTAAGGACAGACGGGAGCACGGACGCACGAACGGACACATAAAAAATTAAGGTTTAATTCACAGCCACGTACGCCGAGCAGGCTGTACGTTTGCAAACGCCAGCGTCGCCGAAAGCGCAAGCGAATCACTACTCCGCGCGTCATACAGCTTTCACGTCGAGGGCTACAGCACACATTTCATACCGAATATACTAGCAACTGCCGTAGTACGGCTGCTTAGTGTGACTACTTAAAGGGACACTAAAGTCAACTATTAGGTCGAAGTTGATTGTTGAAATAGCGGTCCAGAAACCTTTTAGTGTAACTTTTGTATCAAAGAGGGTCCTATTTTGAAATAAAATCACGTTTTAGTGCTCCGCATCGGGTTAGCGCACTTCAAATTACCCGTCTCAAGAAGCGGACCGAATCACGTGACACACTGTTGCCATGCACAACGTTGCCCGGCTTTACTGTGCTTGTAGCGGCAGCCCGAAAGCAGCGGGAGCCACAGCAAAACAACGGCCATCGATCGATTTCCCGCCATTGGCTTCGAGAATGCAGACGCTTTTGTTTCAACTGGTCCCCGCTAGATGGTCCCACCTGTGCCGTGAAATTTTTGAACCACTCGCGCCATTCCCCACAGTAACGTCCAGCGGTTCTTTTTTCAATGAATCAAACAAAAACGAACAAGCAGCATTTTATTGCTTCTCCTGATGCACCGAAGGTTCATTATTTAGTGCAGTTAAATCGATTACTAGTGAATAATTGTAGGCGGTCCGTCTGATGTCATTGGGATCATTTTGAAAATGTCCTACTGTGGCACTGGTGTTCTTGTGCATTTACCTTAATTTTCAATGAACCAAACAGAAACGAACAAGCAGCATTTTATTGTGTCTCTTGATGCACCGAAGGTTCATTATTTAGTGCAGTTAGATCGATCACTAGTGAATAATTGTGGGCGGTCCGTCTGATGTTATTGGGATCATTTTGAAAAAGCCCTACTTTGGCACTGGTGTTCTTGTGCATTTACCTTAATTTTTAAGTAAATAGGGCACTGTTGTTGATAATATTGTCATTTTAGATGTTGTCATACATTGAGCTTTCATTTTAATGTAAATTGTTATTTGACATTAGTGTCTATTCAAAGTGTGACTGCTGCGGCACCCCCATGGGTTTTTGACACGAGTAGGTCGCTGCTCCGGGATGTCCGAGCACACTCTTCCCCTTCATGCCGGAACAACAATAAAGTTGCTTCACTCACTCATACCGAATGTTTAGTTTTCAATTCGTGGGCCTATTGCATAGTATGTGCATCTAAGCTCAGAGTATGCCTTTTCAGATGAATTCTTGTGAAACTGTGAATACTTGTGACAAATGGGGGAAGGGGAGGGTGGTGAACTTGAAGGAACACAAGCTGTTACTTGTTGTTACAGTTTTGGAAATACTTTTACATGGATATAACTGAAATTGAGGTATCTAGAGCGCTCAGCACGAAACGAAATGGAGGCCAACACATTGTAAAGAAGACCGCCAGGACTGCGCAGAACGTGCAGAATAGTGACAGCGAAAGCTGGAAGAGCGGCATTTCAGGGCGTTTTTGAAACACTGTTTGGGTAACTGCTATGAGATCACTTGCAGAGAACCCACTACCCTATTAATCACAATTTTTGTCTAGTAGGGAGGCATTCACTATGCCATCTTTCGGCATTCAGAAAAACGTGGTACCCGCAACACACTATCAAGCAATTTCGTACAATTTTCGGATGCTGTGGCTGGCGACAAAGAATTATGCCTGAAGCTTTTGTAATGGGTTGGAGATTTGACGACCCACTCAGTACGCAATACGCATTGTGCGTCACCTGAATGTTCTTTTTTTGTTCTAAGATGCTACATTACTCATATTAATGAGATTCTTTTCCCGACATAAATCCTGCCCAAGCCCAGTTTGCAACGGATTTCCAAGCACCAGAGTGACTCAGCAGTGGAATACTGGGCTGAAACGCAGGAGACATGGGCTTGAATCAGATCGTCTCCAAGTTGTTTTCTTATTTCGCACCAAAGTGGATACAAACACCGGCGGCGGGCAACTATGGAGCAAGCAACCGTTATTGTGATCTCGTAACAGTTTTCGCTGTAAAAGGCATGAGCAGTGACCGTCACATTTTTGTCGAGTGACATAACTTCAAGCACCATTCCAGTGCTCCCATAGAAAGAATTGGTATGGAAAGGCCAACAAAATGTCTTCAAAGTGAACTATGGTTCGACATCATTGAATGATAACACAATACACCATACTAACGTGCTGGACTTTCTTCAACAGGTAATAGCCTAACTCACAATAATGGCAACTTATTGCCCATTTTATTTCAAATCCTTACATGAACAATAACTCATAAACTTTTGTTTATGTACAAAGGTCGTGCAAAGTCACTGCATCTATTTGTAGCCACCAGGTGTGCAAAGAAGAAAATCCAGCACCTCTGGCAAATTACGTCCACGACAGCCAAACTGGCTTCAGTATGTTTCAAAAGCGAATAGGTTTATGACATGCATGTAATGTGGTTCATTGCCTCACGTCCCACACCAGCGAAGCGTGAGGCATGCAAGAATCAGCAGACAGGCAAACAGGGACACTCTTTTATAGGGCCACCTGTAATGATCCCATTTATAAACATTGTTACATTCATTGCACAATGTCTAACAGCAGCATATACACATCCAGTCAAACGTTACAAACCTACAAATCAAGCAGGAATGCTTAAACACAATTTTCCTACCAGTATAGAGCAGATGCATTAAAGGTAGGCAGTTAACCTTTTTGTTAGAGATTAATTGTCATGTGACGCTTGCTGATATTTCACAGCTATTCAAGCTATGTTGGCGTTTGGCCAATACTCATAGAAATTGTTGCTTCTTGAGGCATAGCCAAGGCGAGCAGCCTCAAGCGAACACCTCCAGAGCTGTTTTTTATTCTTGGATTGTATTACATATAGTTCTACGCTTCACTGGCTTCCTATGATGAAATTCATGCTTGAAGATTTTGCAGCTTCTTTGAATTGGGAAGAAAAAAAAACAGTAGTATTGCGAATCTCGCAGCATATATATTTACATGGTGCGTTATCAACTCTTTAAATGTACGCCAAAGTAAAATATTTTGTGGCCAAGCATATATTACAAATGAAGAAAGACCCCACAGACACTACGAGGATGAACCGACTAAGCGAAGCAAAAACAAGCCAAGCCTAGACTTTCCGCAGTATACAGGCTTCAACTTGATATCTGTTTAGAACATTTAAATGTACAGGCAATATACATGAATGCTAAGAGAAGGTGCCACGTTTCAAGGCATTAGCGCTTGCAGATCGACACTAAGCATTTAACATCCGATGGAAGGTACCATGTAGTCATTTTGAACAAGTATACCTTGAAGAGACATACACTGCCATCAGCAAATATTTAAGTTCATGCACAAACTGTCACACCATGAGCCCCGCTTTTTTGCAAATTATGAAGCAAAAGCTGCATTGATCAACCCTTCACACAGGTGCGTTATTTATATCATGGCCCAAAGCCAGACCTTTTAAACTTGGCAGTTTTCTCCTCTCACGCCGTGCAGACAACAATCAACAACAATCTGTATGTCCTCTAGACAGAGAAACGAGTAACCTGCACTGCAGGATGGCTGATAATACCACAACCACGTTCTCACACTGCAAGGAGTCTCCTCTCGACACAAATGTCACTGTAACGCGACACGAAAAAAAGAAGAAAAGCGCACTCGTTTACGTTTCAAACAGATCTTTCCACGTCCATTCTCCTCAGTCATTTTAGGCAGAAGCTGGCCTGGCTACCTCTTCTAGCCAAGTCATTTCAAACACAGATTTCGGTACAATGTAGGCCAATGCAAGCACTGAAACATTTGTGCAGGTAGGCCACTGCAGTAGATGCATCTAACTTCATACGGGTAAAGAAATTCAATTACTACAATTGCAACAAAAATGAGCCTGTCAGGTTGGCACAACACACCAACCTGAGCAGATATCGACATCCATAAAAGCTTTGCAGCGCAGTAGAAGATGGAATGATAAAAACCACTCTGTCATCACATACCATTGACCCCTTCAATGCCTGCAAACCTGTCCTTTTTGCTAATGCATTGATTGATTTCTCCTTCACCAGCGGCTTACATGCTTAGTGATTTAGCATACCAAACACTGATACGAAAAATGCTAGTGTAGTCGGCTGCAAGTGTTAATACATTATATTAACAAAAGTTATTTCTCCTGAGCAGAGCATCTCGTGTTAAGCTTTCCACAAGCTGTAAGAAAATTGACATCAATTTGGTACCGTACAAACATGCTATATGCACAGAGAAAGAAAAGCTTTCTTTAACCTTTGAACAAAGTGTATTAAACAAACGAATTCAGCACTTTAGCCAAGTTAAACCCCTGCACTATAAGTGTGCAGCCTAAACAGTTCTGAAAATGCACTCTCTCTCACCCTTACTACTTTCTGTGTTTGCACTAACACAGCAACAAATGCTATGGCTGAGGTCAGATTTCTTGAGACTTCAAAACTGGGCAGTGCCTCCGGCCAGCATCCAAAACAAGCACCCCATGATCATTTGGCCATGGCTAAACTATAATCTCTGAGATAGGACGTTACGACATACAATCTTGAAAGCAATTCTGACAGCTGCGTTGGCTGGAGAATCGCTCTAGATTGGCACAGCTTCCAATCTTGCAACACTGAGAAGGGGGAAGGTTATGAAGGTATGCTACGGGTAGCGTTTGACAGCTGAACACTCTAGCCAGAAAAACATATGCTGGGTGATTTTCTTTAACACCAGACACATTCCACACGTTTATCTTAACAGGGTTTCTTTAGGACATAAGTGAAAAAAAAAACAAACAAACAAACCAAATAAGAATCTTTACAGTTCAGTTTCCAAGATGTATAAAGCCTGTTGCATCGCTAAGAAACCAGAGTTCCCCAAAATAGTTTCACTTGTGGGTGCTTTCAAGCTCAACAGATGCGATATGCAGCAAAATCGATTCAGGTGTGCTTCAGTGTTAGTTTCCTGCAAGCTATGCGGCTAGGCCCTTGGTAGTGCTAGGATTATAACATGTGCCATACGTGATAAAAAAAAAGAAAGCTTTATTCAGCTGACTATGTGACATAGGATGAAAACGACACTGAACAGACGGTGTCAAAATGAAGGCTGTCTTGATTAAAGAAATTTGTGATATATTTATATATAATATATAATAAAAACAGGAAATAACCACTGAGGAATCCATTAACAACTCTAACATACATACACTCACATCTGTGCATCACAGGCGCTTTATATAGTTCTTTCTCGAGGTAAATGGACATGACAAAAGCTCTGGGTACATAGCATAAAGGATCAAACAACACACAAAAGACAACAAATTATTCCAATCAAGCTCAAGTTCACAGCAGCATAAACATAGTTTCTTCCATATGAACCAAAGTCTCTAGACACAGAACCTCTCCATTCACTACACGAGCTTCTACGACAAGCTGCTTTGCTGTTCTCTCTAAACTCTCTGCTAAAGCTTTGCTCCTAAAGACATTGTTTTATTTTTCTTAATGATCGACTGGAAGACAGTCTTCGTGTTTTGTGCCCACAACACAGTTCACGGAGAGAAGGCAAGAAAGAAGAGTGCGACTGCCAGAAATTTAGAACCTAGTTCACACTCAAGACGTGGTACCCCCCTTCATGGCACCAGGCCATACCAAGGTCTTAAAATCTTGTGGTATTCTTCAGTGCAAGGTACCGTGGCAACCACGCTGACAAATACATTCACGTGAAGTTCCAATATCTGAGCCACCTCACGGCAAAAGACGAGGCTACAGAGAACGTAGCACGCTTGTGACTAATTACCAAGTCTCTCCGATAATCGCAAACGTAAAACGGCGACTGCACAAAGCATGTTCCAGGCGCTTCTACGATGCGACGTGCGTTTGGGTCAGGATGGCTACTGCACGTTGTGAGATAACCGCTCGGTTATCAAGATTGTACTGCATGCCACGGGTTATTATTTTTAGCCAGCTTAACGTACACTGCTGCTGGCACAACAGTTCTGTTGTCACACGTCAATATCCCAATGACTCAACACTGGCCCGACAATACATCGGGAGTGCATTACGTGTGGTTTCCGCTTAAGCAGCAGCAATGTGTCCTAGGTCCAAATGAAGCAGTGCAGCTCTGCAGACACACATACACACACACTCACAAGCTTAAAAGATGCGCGCACAACATAAATGAGACTAGCGTAGCAGCAGACAGTTGGGGCACCCTGAATTACCCGCCCTTGTGCCGTTTGGTGGAGGGGCCGTAGCGGCTGTGGCCCAGAATGCGTTTCCCGGATAAAATGTGGTTGGAGGAAGAAGGCAGCATGCGGCGACTCTATTTGTGGGCCGCCAGCATCTCCTGTATTTCGTTCTCCCACTCAGGATCATCGCCCTGTGCGGCCGAATTGGTTGCCACCACTTCGAAGTCCTGCAGCTCTTGCTGAAGCTCCTTCTCCCAGTCGTCCTCTGCCGCTGATGGAAACAATACGGTTTATAAGGCTTGCAGCAAGTCTATCAACTACTTCAGTTAACTGCAACAACTATGATAATACACAACCCAACAAAATTCTTTACATAACAAAGTATAGTAACATCTAAACAACACTACCGTGCTTGTATTTTTAGCCTCAATATAGTGAAGTGGATTTCCCACAACCTTCAGTACAACGAATTTTCACAACTGCCGTGAAAGAACACTGAGGTGATAAACTTTTTTTTTTTCCGTGGAGTGCACTATTATTCAGACACTTTTTGCAGCCCCTACCAAGTAAAATATAATTTATTGGCATTTATACCTTGTACGAAAAGTTCAATTTCAATGTATAATAAAATGGCATTTTAGAATCTCAATAAGTGAATCACTTAAATATAAAACAGCAGTCTTTGAAATTCTTAGTGTTATACTTTGATAATATTACTAAAAGAAAACTTCACTGGTAGAAAACAAAGTTCTCACAACCCTGCAAATGGAACCGCAGAAGCGAACCCTTAAAAAAATTTCTTTCTAGAAGGGGAACCATCTGAATTGTTTTTCTGTAATCTGCCTCTTCATCAATCTCTAATAAACAGTTATATGAACTGTAACAAAGAATGTCTACGCACAAGTGTGTGCTACTCAACCATTGATTGGACCTTCATGAGACATTTTTCAAATACGTCACTGGCACTTCACTGAGACAAAAGCTAGCAAAACCTAGTCTGTTTAACAGGCCTTATCCATGTCTACACAGCACAACAAATTAACTGACACATCAAACTGGATAAAGTGCCTAAGAAAACAGGACATGCTAGGCACTTGTGCACTCGCTTCTTGTGTACCTAACATGATTAACATAATTGAGATGCTCTATGACAGATTGTACTGCACTCCAATGCATGTCACTCTCAGCAAACAAAAATGTTGACCAGAACACATTTTCGCAGTTCTTTGAGGTTACGTTTATAACATATAGGATGCTGTAACAAAGCATACTGCCAATTTTACTACAGCACTGCAATCACCGTGCAACCTTTCTGCAGTGTGGGTTGTTAACATGAGTGCATGGCACATTTAGTATGTCCTGAAACTGCTCTAAAGACCACCACTTCATGTAGTACACAGTGATGCCTCTTGAGTTAAAGTATACCATAAGCAGCATCACATGGTCCAACAACTTTGACGACACTGTCGATACTTTCACTGCCCAACTGATTTTATTTCATTTCCACAATCTTTCAGCTTGCACTTCTCAAGTGCTCAGAGCTTCCAAGTGACAATTTGGATAATCACTTCTATGTCGCCTGTTGTAATAATGACCTGCTAATGGTGAATTCCACTGCTAGATTCGGAGTGGCCGCCAAAATCTTGGAGCGAGCACTCGGAGTGTGCCAAACGTGATCTGCGAGTGGAACACGTGAATGCCCCGCGTGAGGTCTCTCTGGAAGTTTTTTTACGCATACGTCACTAAACCGGTACCGGAAACGATTTTCTTGTCTGCCTCGACGTTTCAATGACAACTGTGTCGCCACTGCAAAGCACGCACTTCGACCACGCAGTCTCGCAGAAAGCAGGGCTACTGCTTTCCAATTTTAGGAATGTAAACAAGAGCACAGGGTTACTAGACCACCTCAAAAAACCCTGAGGGCAACCCAGCTGCCCGACTGTACTGGAAATGACAGCAACGCATTCTCGGAGTTACGGCGAAATCCGTCTTTGCAAGACGGAGCAGGCGGAACGATCCTTCGCGGAGTGAATTGCTCCGAATTTACCAGTGGAAAATGCGAACTTGCTCCAAATCTACCAGCGAAACGTGGATTGTCAGCTTTGGAGCAAGAAAACTTGCTCCAGCTCGACGAGTGGAATTCGCCATAAGTTTACCTGGTACGAGTAAGAGTTTTAGTGGCTTTGAGAGCTTTTATTTATTTTTTCTAACATGTGCTCCACTATTTGCATACAGGAGAGTAGTCTGGCTAAGTGCTTGCCTCGGTTGACAGGTAGCAATAAAATACACAATGCAAGTAAGCCAAATGCAAAGTACAGCTTATATTTTGTGTGTGCACAACAATTATGGAAAGTACACGACAAAAAGATGTTATGTACTTATATTCCATATACTGAACCCACACAATAGGAATAAACTGCAGTTTCCACAACCAATTAAACACTCCTGCATTTCACAAGTAGCCCAGTACTGCAAAGTTCTAGACTGCATTTCAACCAGAAGGTAAAGCACGGGGCAATCACTGCGACGTTACCTGCTTTGTCTCCCATGCCAAGTTGTTTCATGCCCAGCTTAACTTCCTCCTCAGAAATCTTTGTGCCTTGGAAGGTGTCAGACACAAATTCATGGGTTGGGCTGTCCAGCGCTTCGTCATCGTCTCCGGCCGCCAAATTCTCTGGATAAGCACAGACACAGCAACTGTACCAACCACATGTGCATTTCCCACAAGCTAAACACAAAGTGCTTAAGGCCATAGTGCTTGAGCTGCGCGCATTAACTCCCCGCACAAGGTGCATTTTTTGTTGAGAGTACGGAAATCTATGATTGTGTGCATCAGTAGATGTGGGTATGTATGTAAGTGGTCATCAACTGGTGCCATCAACTGGTGCTTGTACGATTGGGTGCTAGCGGACACTTCAGCGAGTACCATCGAGCATAAGCACACATTGGTGCTAGTCAGTATGTATAACAAAGACATATTGGTAGTGAAATGGAAGCGAGAGCCCACTTTTTGTACTGGAAAGTGCTTGAGGCACGCCTTAAAATTCATAAAAAAAGCAAGTGCACGGGTGTCTGCAGTGGACTGTGGCAGTGCTGGAACCAATGTTGACGTACGTTTGTTGCTTTCGTCTGATGGACTCTGCTGTGAAGAGACTGACGAGGTGTCGCCACTGCTGCTGCTCCCTGTAAAATGAGGTATTCAACACGTAGGTAAATATATCTACAGTACGCATTTTCAACTATGACAGGAAAAGATGTCAGTCTATTGTGCTGTTAGCATCTCCTTCAATGTTAAAGCTGTCATTTTAAAAGTGGTATCTTCCATTAGTGTAAAATACACCATTATAATTTCTTGCTGTCGGGCAAAAGCACGAAGCAAATACTTGTGGATGGAAACACTAATAAGGCAACATTTCAACAAGGAATGTCAAGCTGCCAGGCAGCAGGGCTCTAAATGTAGCTACATATCTGCTAAAAATGAAGGAATAAAGAAGTACATGAGCTAATGACCTAACTATGAAAATCAGTACTGTGCTGCTTTCCTGAATGCAAAAGAAAATAAATAAATGCAGGAACAAGATAAGGAATAGCTTTGAATGTATTGCATAAGGCATCTGGCATTTTGGTTTCATCCTAAATGAAACAGAATTTGCAACTAAGACAACTACTGGCCCTTTTCAACACCAACTGAATGTGGCAAAGAATGTACTTGGTGCTCGACCAGATGGTTGCCATTTTTGTCAAACTGGCAGCCTTTAGCAATACAGCTATGCCCATAGACAGGCTGGTTCAAAATAACTCATTACAACTAAGCTGTCCCCAGGTTAATGGTATTCTCCAACACAACAACACTAAAGAAGTTTCAAGCAAGCTATACAGGATGCGAGCTTTTGTAACAGTGAATAGACGTGCACAGGCAAACGTAGATTGAAATATTGCAAAGCAGTATAATATATATTAAGCGATGCAAGCTCAATAAATTGCTCCTTCTGCATATTCCCTTGCTTTATTACCGTTTCAACTACTATTTTGCAGTCAGCAATATTGAAGACGTGCCAGCAGTACTGGGTAGATCTGAAAATCCATGAATAATTTTTATTAACACATTTCACTTAAGATCAGCTTTGGCAGCATCAATCTTTAAAAATGTAACCAAAAATAACGAATATTTGTTACATGCCACAGCCTATATCCTTGGAGGTGAAATTATGAAAGTGCAACGTACCAGCACCTTTGCCGTGACCGAGTGCACTTAGCTGCGTCGACTGCTTGATGAGCGAGACACGGTAAAAATAGTTCCTCCAAAAGTCAGTTTCAGGAATCCTAATGTGAAAGCAAAGAGAAGGCCGGACTTTCAGTGTGGAACAAACTTTATGCACTACGTCAAACAAAAATGGGCAAATGTTATGACAGGTTAAAAATTAGTTCATGCAGAAATTGTGAAGTCAAAATACTGGACACGCATATTGGGAGGCTGCTGACTCTCTCGGTGGTTTAGGCTGTGGCATTTTGCTGTCGGGCATGGTCATAGGATTAACCGCTGGTGTCACAGCCCAGTTACGAGTTATGACAAAGGTTCGTGTCATTTATAGATTTAGATGCATGATAAAAGGGATCCTGTAATGCATCCAAGAAACCTTGACTGGTGGTTTCATTGTTTCATGCAACAAATGCAGGCACAATGTTGGTCCTCTAAACTACGGCCGCTCGTTAACGATGTAATACAATATATATTTGCACATTAGTATGAAGAAATTATGTTGCTAAACCCCAAAGCCATTTAATTACAGTCACGCAAATGTTGCCATACTTTGTATCAATCCATTTGATTTTTTATCATCACTCTTCATCATTTGCAGACATGCTAGTGAATCAGCATTACTGTTGGTATCAGTTGGTAAGAGCTGCATAACGCAAAAAGAATGTGTGACAGGACGTGCAAGAAAATGAAGCACTAAAATCGTATGTTGGAGCCTCTCGCTCAATTTACTGGCCATCTCATTTCGTATGAATACTATTCCAAGTTCGATCAAAAGGCCGCTGCATTACAAAAGTGGGCCGAAGTTGACTCACCATTTTGGGACAAGCTCGAACCTCATTTTCTCAAGGTCGCTGTCCTCTTGAAGCAAGGCCATGGCTACTGGCGACATGGTGTCCATGTCAAACTCGAACATAATACCAACTGGTGGACTTCGCACAAAGTTTCTTTTGTCCTACAGTTGTTAAATAAAAAGGACAAATAAAAATGTGAAAGCTACACATAACATGGATTTAAAAATATGAAACACACGCACTCGGTGTAGTTCGTGCACTGTAGCAAATACTTTTGCTGAGAAAAAGACAAAGCGTCAAGAGGCAAGTTCATACGTGCCAACCTAAGAGCATGAAAATTCAGGAGACTGCAGAGTAGGGGGAGGGAGGAGGGGAAAAGTTTATTATTGAGACAGACATTTGCAATCCGCTGTTGTTGGTTTCATACACAGCGCTGGCAATGTTTCAGGGTTTCCACAATGTTTCAGAGCCTCCATCATTTTGTGTTTTCGGCATCTGCAGCCATTTTTCCGATGATGGCAGTTGCTCTCGTATGCCCGCACCAGCACCTCTTCGCGTCCTCTCACCTCGGGAACATTTTCCAAAACAACGGTCCTGCATGATCACGGATCGACGCTTAGCGGCAAGTTATGCTCCGCGAGAAATCCCATTAATATATAGGCATTCTGCACGAATCACGCCGTTTTCGCAGATCCATTTGAAGAAGCTCCCCATGTTACGCTGCCCTTTCGTAGCACTAACAAAGTTCTGATGCTTCTGTGAAGCGATGTGCACCTTTAATATCTCGGCCTTACCGCCTTGCAAAATGCTTGCATTACAGGCGCACATGGCCCGCGAAGTCACGAAGCACGAAAACTCCGCTGTGTATGAGTCCAGAAACAGTTGTAAATACTTCCTTTCTTTTGGCGCCGCCATCCACCTTCCAGGGAGGAAACATGCAACCCCCCCAACCACGTAACAAACACAACCGATGCCTAGGCAAGTGGCGTAGGCCTAGCATGTGGAATGTCGGGGCAGAGACACAGATGCAAGAGTTGCAGTACCTTATCCCCTACGGCACGGGTTATGGGCGAAGGCCCGCGGCTGCGGGCCTTCGCCCAGGTGCGCAGTACTATACAGTGCCTACAATTTACGATATGGTTACAAATAACAATAAACCATACGAGTGTGTTGAAGAGTGCTCTTCCGCAGCACCACAACTGTCACAGCTGTAAAGGCTGACGTACACACGCGATTATAAAAACAAAGCGCATCAGCTACGGCGGCCAGTTTTCGGGAGATTCTAAATAGCATTTGTATAATAGAAAGATGAGGTCAAACTTCTGAAGTCTCCTGGACTATTCGGGAGAGTTGGCAGGTATTCTAGAGGCAAATAAAGGACTGAGCACGTATTTGAGCACGGCACAAAAATTTGCTAGTAAATATATTTGTCGAAAGCCTTGCAAGAGGGCTTGCCATTTTGTGCTGTGCCTGTCCGTCCTTTACCGGAGAGGAGCTTGTTTCCTTCATTCTAATGAAAACAAATAAATGTGCACTGTACAGAAATCCCGCTATGTCGAAAACGCAATACAACTACATGCTTACTACGGCACACTTGTCGTACTAATTACATGCAGTGAACATTCAAATTTACTCGAGCAAACTTTGTGTCTGGTAGAAACCGTGTTTGCAGATCAGTAGTCTGCTTCTTTTCCATTTCTTTAGACCTTTCTAGGAAGAACTATGCTGATCACATATTTTTTAACAAAGCAAAAATTCTTTTTCTTATTAAGAAGGATGTTGTAACTAGGTTCACTTAAAATTCCCAAGACATACTAGCTCTACAAAGAATTGGCATTTACTGCATAGACTTTAGCAATTACTCAGAAACTAGTTCATATAGTCAGCTGATCCTCAAAAAGATTTTATCGCTCAATGACTGGCTCTCACATACCATTGAAAAATTTTTGAAATTAAATTTTAGCACATCAAATGCCTAAACACATAGAACTGAAAGCAATGAGTGGTTTAATCATAGTAACAGCAGGCACACTGATAATATTTTTTTAGATTCAACTTAATCTAGCACTAATCACTCGGAAAACACAAAGGATAAAAACAAATTGCAAGATATTACGGTGAATTAGCGAGGCTATCGTGTTACAGTGCCTTGACAGAATTATGAAAGCTTGCTACCCTTAAAAGAATGGACAACCATACGTAAATTTACCTGTCAGCCTATTCTTAGAGCAAGTTTATTTTTAGTGAGTAGAGACATAAACATGTATGGTGTGACATTTGATGCGATAATCAAACATAGCGGGAGGTCATGGTCATTTGCACCATTGGAAAATGCAGCAAGATAAGTCACACACCATCATAGAAACTTAAAAAATAAATAAATAAAAGCTTTTTGATGCCAGGATCTCAGACAATTATGAGGAACAATCCAGTGGGAGGCTTTATATTGCCTCAGTCCATTTTGGGTAGTTTAGGTGCGTTTGAATCAATGTACACTGGCATTTTTTGCATTTAATACCCATTAAAATGTGCCCACTATTGCTGAGAGTAAAACGCCTGGCCTTATGCTTTGCAGTACCACACCGTAGCCACTATCAAAAAGGCTCCTGCTTATGTTATATGCCACAATGCTTGGATCAGTTTTCGTAGTGTGCAATAAGCACTGGCAAAACTACACTCAGAGGAGTGTGTTTAAATTGCAGAGCGGTGTGCCCAATGATACCTCCATTGCACGGTACTTTTAAGGAAAAGGATTTAGCATATCAGGGAACTATGTTTGCGGGTTGAAGTTGCAGCAGCAAGCACACGATTGAGTTGAATGACGGAACATAGGAGAGGCCTTTGTCCTGCAGTGGACATAGTCAGGCTAATGATGATGATCAGGGGCTATCATAAAGTGTTGGACATACAAGCAAAATGACTTTTTGGAAGTGTCTAATGCATTTGCCTAGCATCCTTATGATTGCTTTAATGCAGCAAATGATTGCGTTGAATGTATTGAATTCTGTTTTACAAGCTCTTTCAAAGATATAAGAAAAGCCACAGGTGCTCGCTTGTACAAGCAAAAAATATCTACAAGGCCACTTGCAACGAACGCAATGAAAATTTTGTTGACATGGTGTGAAGCTTACAGCCGAGAGGGACAGTATTTGCTGCTTCACATTTTCTTCGTCTTCGCATCCAACCCAGGGTAAGATCCCGGCGTCGCACCTCTGCTTGCCCTTAACAAAGGTCTCCTGTTCACGGTTAAAATCTGCTAGAATGCTCTGAAAGCAAAACAACGAAAGAAGAATAAATGGCATGTCTGAGTAAGTGCAGTATGTATGCATGCACAAGAATAAAGAATGCATCAATGCGCGCACGATTCGGAGGCAAAGAAGTTCTCACATTTTCCTCGACTGTTGTTTTGATTTGCTTGGCCGTCTCCTGCACAGTTTTTCCAGCCTTGTTCGCCACGGAATAGAGGAAACCTAAAGGAAGCGAGAGATCCAATTGTTGGGGTTTGACGTCCAAATGAGAAGGTATGACTAACTGAGAGAGGTCATAGCGGAAAAGCTGTGGAAACTGATCATTCAGGGTTCTTCAACGGGCACGTTTATCTAAGCATACGGGCCAAAAGCATTTTGGCGTCCTACGAAAGATCCGGGCGCCGCGCCAGGGATTCGATCCTTACGACGTTCGGGTCGGCAATGAAGTGAGAAAACTACGGCTCCTGACGCTCAGAATTCAGCGCGACGCGAACAAAGAAAGAAATGAATCGCAGCTGCTCTAGCTCGCATACGCACGAGCTATGCACGGTAAACACACCAGCAACACGTCGCTACACGGGAACGCAGCAGCTATTTAGTGGGCATCGACAGCTTTTTCGCATCGCTAGATGCGTAGCTAGATCAAAGCTTATAATCGGAATATTTTAGAGAAATGAAACGCTGTGAACGCCGTGTACTCACTTCCGAACGACTTCGCCGACTCCATCGCCTTTTGTGACACATTTTCGAGCGGAATAGAGATGCCCGCACCCAGGGATCCCTTGTCGTTCGAAGGCGCAGCATTGGCCGATGGTTTCGGTGTTTCTGGCGTCGGAGGAGCGTCTGTGTCGGGCCCCGATGTCGAGCCCGAGTCGCTTCCCCCACCACCGCTTTCCTTGGACGGTGCTTGCGGCTCATTAGAAGCAGCTTCGTTGGTGGGTTTGCTGTCGGGCGCATCGCCAGCCTCGGTCGACTCCGGAGCCTTCGCTTGCGGTTCGGCTCCTTTCGTCGTGTTCTTCCAGATGTTAGAAATGAAATCCATGTCTCCTGTTGAGCCCCAGCCTTGAAATGAGCGTGAGGAATCGCTCGAACTGCCGTCCGCAGGACTGCAGTAGCTGCAGTCACCAACGCAATACGAGCCTACAAGAGAGAGATATCTTGCCGCAGCTTGACGACACAGTTGACACTTCCGCTGCGCTGTAAATAAACAGTTATTCGGAACAAAAAAAAGTCTGAAGCGGAGGCGGCGGAGGCGTTATCGTGACCACGCACTAACTGCGGACTCAAGCCAACGTTACAATCTCAGAAAGTCGGCCCTTAGCTACAGAAATGCTGAAAAAGACGTAAGGATTCTTGCTAAACAGAAACCACAACAGAAACCGACAGAAATACAAGACTTCCGGTTGGCCACACTGTTTTTGAAATAAAAAGTTCACGTGATCAAGCTAAAGCCGACCGTTGCCGCTGGTGTCACGCTGCTCTCGTCGAAGGAAGTTCTGTCGTTGTATAGGAAATCGAGATGTTTTAGCGCGCAGGAAGGTGTCATGCTTAACCGCGTTCTTGTTCTGTCATGCTAAGCTTGATCTAACTGACATAATTCATAACGCTGCTCGCCATGGCTCAAATGGGAACTTTCAAGTGCCCGTCGTGCGCTTTGCCCTACACGACAAAAGGTAAAATACCGCGCACGTGTCTTTTCGCGGTTTCGCGTGCTAAGCACGCGCAAATTGCCGCGACTCTCGCTCGTGCACGATAATGCGTTGTGGAAAAAAAAAAAGTTTTCGCTATATTCACTGAAGCGTTCGTGCTTTCTCGGGGTTGTTGCTCATTGGCTGCATTGTATCTGGCGTCCGTACAAAAAAGATGTGTCCGGCTTCAAAAAACGTGGTTGGCGAACAGTACTTGTGCTTCTTCGTTGAAAAGCGAGCTTTAATGGTAAATTATGGAGGAGGAGTGAAAATTGGTTGCTACATGTGGTACAGGCTGATGGTATTCCGAGCTGGGTACTGACACGAGCTCATTGTGTTCGTTTTCAGAGCAGCGAGGAACTCGGCTACCCCGAATTTTAAAGTGTGGTCACACGTGCTGCGAAGCTTGTATAAGAAGCCGTGCGTCAGCGAGCCACGTGTGCGAGTGCCCTGTTTGCAAGGTTGGTTGCTTAATGCTTTCATAAAGTGCAGAAAGTAAAGTTTTTGTGTGTGTGTGTGTGTGTGTGTGTGTGTGTGGTATCAAAGAGGGGCGCGAGCTGCGTTGCACTGATGTGCTAACGTTGTCCGTGCACGTTTTTGCTATAACTTATCTTTTTTTCTTTTTCAGGACCAACAAAGTTTTGCAACCACCAGCAGCATCCAAAAGCTGCTGCTCGATTCGTATGTTCTGGGCGTTGGGTATGCTTGCAGCCGGCAGCAGCAAATGCCGTAAGCTAAGAGCTTCCTTTTCACTATAGTTGTGTTGCGAGCTGTCAAGGATGCCTGGGTTGTAATAGAGCACAATTAGCAGTAACTGCACAAGGTGTCCTAGCTAGTTGATAATTTATTGCTTTTACCCCAGAACTTCATAGGGATGACACTTGAACAACATCAACAACAACAAAAAAATACAAATACTAAGTTGCAACTAAAGTTTGATACATGACATTTTGAATATGTAGGCAGAGCAACACTAGGGAAAAATCCAATTGTGTGCTAGTGTCCAAACATGCCTGTGATCTTTTGGTTTTATGGTTAAAGCTGGCCAGTCTGTCTGTTGTTTCTTGTTTTAAGTTTGTTTTCTAGAAAGATGCCTCTCTTATAACCAAAGTAGCAGCAGTTCAACGTGCAAACAGCTTGATTGCAAGAAATGTACATCCAGTTTCCAACTTCTACTGTCACAAAGAGACACTAAAGGCAACTATTAAGTTGACGTTGATTGTTGAAATAGCGGTCCAGAAGCCTCGTAGTGTTACTTTTGTGCCAGCAAAGGGCTTATTATGAAATAAAATCGCGTTTTAGTGGCCCGCATCTGGTTAGCGCACTTCAGATTACCAGCCACAAGAAACGGATCGACTTGTGTCACTGTTGCCGTGCACAAAGTTGCCCGGCTTTACTGTGCAGTTGCCGACACTAGTAGACAGAACGAAAGCAGCGGGAGCCACAGCAGCATTAACTGCCATTGATCAATTTCCTGCCATTCGCTTCGAGATGGTAGACGTGTTTTGGTTAAACTGCGCTCCGCTAGATGGCACAACCTGTCCAGTTTAACCGCACAAAAATTGAATTTTTGAACCACTCGTGCCATTCTTCATAGTAAAGTCTGGCATTTTTTTTTTTTCATGAATCAAACTGAAACTAACAAGCAGCATTTATTGTGTTTTCTGATGCACGAAAGCTTCTTTATGTAGGGCAGCTCAGTGGATTACTAGTGATTAATTGTAAGCAGTTCGTCTGACGTCATTGGGATCATTTTGAGAATGTCCTGCTGTGGTGCATCTATTTTTGTGCGTTTACCTTAATTTCTCTGTAAGTAGGGCATTGCTATTGATAATATTGTCATTTTAGATGTTATACATTGAGCTTTCACTCTGATGTAAATTGTTATTTTACTTTAGTGTCCCTTCAAACTCGCCCTGCTGTGGTGTGCTCTAGTGGCTAAGGTACTCGGCTGTTGACCAGCAGGTCGCGGGATCAAATCCAGCTGCGGCGGCTGCATTGTAGGCCTGTGTGCTTAGATTTGGGTGCACATTAAAGAACCCTAGGGGGTCGAAATTTCCAGATCTCTCCACTACAACGTCTCATAATCATAAGTTAGTTTTGGGACGTTGGTTTTGGAAACCCCACGTATCATCTGTCCCTTTAAACTCGGTGCTTGTCACATTCTTCTCATAAGGGTGAAACGCAAAAATGTTCATGAACATAGATTGAGATGAAAAAAAAAATCTCCTACCCCTGAGGGCCCCCCTGTTTTGGAAATGTCCCGGATTTAGAATACTTGAACTTGGTAGGTATGTAGTAGGTACTGTGGCACCCTGAAATCTGCCACATGCTCGCACACCTGCTTGCGTTCAAATTGGAAGTAAGCCACACGTTTGAAAAAAAAAAGTCAGTTTCGCCAAATGCGTGAAGCAAGGAATGCGATAGCAACATATTTGAATGTTTTACGAATCAAGGCTAGCATTTTTAGGAGCAATATTAGTTGTATTAAACATGCGCTTGCTGAGTAACCAAGTTTTCTGCGGCACGGCCACAGTAGATGACCCTAACAAGGTTCGTGTGTAGTGACGGCATTGATGAGGAGCGCCTCCCGGGGGCAGCGAATGCTGGTACTTAGGGCTATGCGTCATATGTCGCCGCTGGTGGCAGCTTATGTGTAGAGCGCATCTATATGTGGACGGCTGCTCCAAGTACACTTTTGGCACCGTTTTTTCGTGTTGAGAGTGCACCCCGTATAAGCTCCCACCTGCTGTGGTGGCAAGAGCCGCACGCTGATTGTTGTGGGGATAGCATGGCCACCATAAGCCCCCCCCCCCCCCCCCTCTTGTCGCTCACAAGATGAGTGCGTGGGCAGACGACCCTGGCCGGAAAGGCGATGTTCGTTCCACAGAAAGAGGGAACTAGCGCATCCTTCCCTGTGCATGTGTGTGTGTGTGTGTGTGTGTGTGTGTGTGTGTGTGTGTGTGTGTGTGTGTGTATACACACACAAACACACACACACATGCATGACGGTGGCAAAAGATCAAGGTCATGACATGGTTACGAAGGGGTACATCTTCCTGCCTCCTTGTCATCCTCCTCCCTGTACAGGTTTCAGCACATATGAAAGAAGAGAAAAAGCACTTGAAGTGTGGGAGAAAAAAAAAAAAGTACCTCTAACTCTAAATATTCTCTCATTTGAAATGTTTTTGTACCAGTCTATTTGTGAAGTAAAAAACTCTGAATAAAGCCATTAAACAATTACTTGGAAAATCTTTGTATAACGTGATTTCTTGCCTCGAGCTACTTTGCACTGTGCATTTATTGGTGCACTCACGCGGTACTTCTGCAATTCTAACAATTTCTTAGAATAATTGTCCCTGCAGTCAATCCTCCAGATTTTATAGATGGATGTAATTTGTCGTGTAGTCTTAGAGAAACCTGAAACAAATCGACAGAGTAAGGATATTTAGGCAAGTTGCGAGAAAGTGATTCATTTGGAAAGCTTCACGATAGTGGTTCGACTTATTTGAATGTTGAGCTCAGACCCAGTATGGGATACTCGTCGTCCGCCAAATCACCAAATAAAGTCTTCTTCCCTCACTCACTCACTCGTAGTGCTATTCTCTAGAATTGTATGAATACTGAATTTTCAAAACGAATCGAGCGACAGTGACACCAAATGGTATACTACTTGAGTACTATTCGAATAGTTTTCAAATAATGATCAACCATTCTAAAAGAGCCTCACAATTTCATATCTTGAATAACCATTCATAACTTTAACAAAGGAACATTACGACTACTTTTGATCAATAAAATATACCACAGTTATGAAAACAGAGATAAGCATGTATAGTGCTACGAATAGTGCTGTTTCACCTACAACTTCTTTTAAACAAAACTGAGAAATGAAAATAAAATTTTGAACTGGCACCTCAAATGTTGTTGAATATGTAATGGGAGGGATGGCCCATTCATCACGGCATGTGCTTTTTGCCAAAAGCATCTAACCACCAGTGCAGAATATTGCACATGCGGGAACAATTTTCACGGATTCCAAACTTTCCTCCGTTGCTAATCATGTACACGTGTGCAGAAATTGCGCTTATGAAGCATAGTGCAGGTGTGCTGCCTTTCTTCAGTTATGACAAAGTAAAGATAAGAATGAACTGATGCCAAGCACAACCCTCGAAAAGAGATTATAGATCCCCTCGCTGTATCAACGTTTCGTTCCTTTGGTATTTACCCATCAGTGCGCAATAGTAAGAGTCTTTGGTATTCTGGATATGCCCTATTTGATTCTTGTACCAATTCAAATAGCATTATTTAATTCGTTATTCAAAATTTTCTAATATTTGTATATTTTTACTAGTCTTGATCTATGTCCTGTAATCTGTTGAAACGTGAGAACAATCGTTCTACCTTGATTATTCTACCTTGACAGAAGAAATGGCTGTAAATGCAACTGTCACAGATATAGACGAGATGGGCTGTGAATTGATGCAAGCCTAGCACTATGTGCTGTTTTCTCTGTATGCATTCACTGTCATGAAAAAGAACTTTCCAGTATTTTGGAATAAGCTGCAGACATTTGTGGGTCCTTTGTTGAATAAAAGTTTTGACTCGTCCTGCTAGAAACTGATAAAAGAGTCATTGACTCTTTTTTATTTTCCTTCATAGCAGACTAGGACCAAACATGGAATTATTTAATCTAACAATGAAGAGTACCATTCAGAAAGAGGAGGCAGCTGCAAAGGGCCCTACTGGTAAGATCACCGCAACATTGATTGTTTACTGATTACTGGCTCAGGGATTCATTTAACCCTTTAATGCCAAGTGTCGCAAATTCGTGACATACCGAAAAACTTCGAGCAAGCAAGCCGCGAAATGCGTGCCACCGTTAATGCCGGCTCTCAAGTACTCATGGGGCATGTAGCTTTCCGCAAGAAAAATTAGCGCCATCTCGTCTAGGGTATCTTATGATTGAACCAAATGTTTTGTCGCTGATGGCGGAGAGTGCGAAGAGCGTGCAGCAGCTCTCAATGTTGAAAACTTGCTTTTGGGCGTGTTGGTGCCTTAGTTTGCTGAACGTTTCGTAACTGGTGCTGTACTAGGGACTGGAAGGAAAAGACAGGTGCCAATCTGTCTCTTTCCTCCCCTCTTTTTCATGTTTCTAGTTTTACAAGCTAGAGCTCTCACTTCGTTCTTTTTCACCTGGGTGACGCAAGTTCAATCTTCAATCATTTTCTTTTGTTTAGTGTGTAAGCAGCCAGGAGGTGGCACACAGCTTATTACATAGTTCTGAAGTCTGTTGTTCGTGGCAAGGTCCTCGCTTCTGTGGCATATGGAGAATTCGCGGCGTACATAAAAGTAAGCATTAAAGTTGCATTTGAGGTAATTTAACTGCAGAATCATTTAGCGGTAGCTATTTTGGAAAATAACAATTTTTATTTTGTTCCTGATTCAGGCATTAAAGGGTTAATATGACACACCTGACAGTGTTCTTCATCAGCTTTTGTGTGTGACTCGACGTTATTTTGTGGTCAAATGAAGCACACCTTTTTAGCCAATGGTTCAAGAAGGGGATGAAAATTGTTCTTTATGTCCGCTAGTTTGTGCAGAAGGCATCACGGAGAACATATTTTGCAAATACTGCGATGCTGCTTGTTGCGCTAATGTTCTCTTTCAGCAAAAAGTTCCCGAGCCCCTGCCTGCGCCACAATCCTTTTCACACGCTCGGTAACGTAATCTTGCCAATGGGCAGTGTTATGTAGTACTGATGTCATCGATTGCTCCTTTGCGTTACGAGATAGTGCCAGGGCCCTGTTGTCCTGCAGTTTTGCCCACACTGTCCGCATCTTCATTTTCCTGTGCTGTTTTGTTAAAGCGGAGACTTACTGGCACAAGCGATGTCACAAGAATGAGGGCCTCTGAGATCAAGACTCTTGGCTTCACCATCAAGGAGGGGGCACTTATGCTGTGGCATATGCTTGGCTCACCTCCCACTTGCATCCTCATCCCATGCTTCCTTTCCGCCCTGCTGTGTTAGCACGCGGAGGGAAACCTTGCTGAGTCTTTACTGCTCGCCGATGACGTAATTGCCGACGTCTTGTTACACTGCTGAAGTGGGTGTAGTTGCAAAAAGGGGCTATGCCTACCCCTCTGGGCTGCTAAGAAGGGTGGGAAAGCCGAGCAAGAAACCAGTGGAAGCTGGTTGTCCTGTGCCCTCTAAATTCTTTATTGCAGCACTTATTTACGAAATTCTCGCTTCAGCGTGTTGACATCCTACAAGTGCGCATTTATCTCGCCCTCATAAATTTGGGGTCGCAAGGTTGTTTACGGGCCTTTTGTAGGCAACTTTTGCCCCACATTGACTTGCGTGTGCAGCTAGACATCCAGAAGTGGTTGTTAATAAGTTCCACATGCCTTGCACCTTTATTGGGTTATGGGCCTGGGTCCAAACCATTACGCTGTAATTTGACGTGTATAAAGTGCACGGAATGTTCATGGGTGCACCAGATTTGTAATCCTGTCTTCGGCGGTAGGGAGACGAGGCATTCTTTATGCCATTGTTTCTGCCTCAGCGCCATGAACCACTTCACAATTTATAGGTTATCGGTGAACTCATCATCTGCAAAAGCTCCCATAGATTACTGCGATTGCAAAACATAATGCTCTGGCTGATCACTTTTCATGATAATTTGCCAGTATTAAAATGTTTCCGGTCATGATGGCGGCAGATAAGCAGTAAATTTGGCTACTCATTAGTTTTAAATAGGCTTGGGTCAATATTGCAATGCTACAAATATTTGAACTAGTTCAGTATTCGAATTCGCTTTGATTCTGACTTGAGTTATTGAAAATTTTGAAGTATTTGAGATCAATAAATAGATGTATATTAGCCAATATATAGTCCCTGCAAAGGTTGTGGAGGTGTGCTAAGCCATGAAAGCGCCAGCACATACCCAGGAGAAATTCGGCTGCTGCGAAGCCCCACTGTAAGATTAAAGAACGTGCTACCCTCACATGGTTTCATCATTTTTCAAGTTCAAAAGGTTGTTATACAGGCTTATATGCTCAAAGTATAGTACATTTTAAAATGTAACATATTTTACAGGCTATCACTTGCATTCTCCCAAAAGTCAAATCCTGCTACTATTCAAAGTTGTTTCCACTTTCTTCGAGAAGAAAATTGCACCGGCTTTGTTTCAATTAAAAAAAATATTGCGCAGATTTGTTAGGTCATGACAGATATGCCCATTGTTCTTTAAATATGTGAGATATAGTATTCGAATTAGATTAGAACTTATTCAGCCAAAATCACTATTAGCTTCAAACCTCTAATCACTATTGGCACTAGCCTAGTTTTATATTATACCAAGGTCAGATCAGCATAGGCAGTCTTCTGTAGCGCCCCGCCGCGGTGGTCTAGTGGCTAAGGTACTCTGTTGCTGACCCGCATGTCGTGGGATCGAATCCCGGCTGCATTTCTAATGGAGGCGGAAATGTTGTAGGCCCGTGTACTCAGATTTGAGTGCATGTTAAAGAACCCCAGGTGGTCGAAATTTCTGGAGCCCTCCACTAAGGCGTCTCTCATAATCATATGGTGGTTTTGGGGCATTAAACCCCACACATCAATCAATTAGTGTTCTGTAGCTGTTAAAATAAGCCATTTCCCCCAATAGGCCTCGAGAGATGCCCCTGAAGAGATGTGTGTTGGTTACCTCTTAGCATGTGCCATAGGATTTAGCGTCTATCCCCACTGCGCACTTGCTAGAGGTTGGAATGCTTTCATCTCTCTGGCAAGCACAAGATCTCATGCTGTTGAAACTACATAAATTTTAAAGACAATAGTCTTTCTTGGGGACCTTTGACGCAAAAATTTTGGTCAGTCGGTGTGCACATTTGTCTGTTTTTCCGCCCTTAACGGTAACTAATCATGGCACCAAAGTGGCCAAACGATACTCTAAACGGCCGACCCGATCCACAGCGCCCACCGATATTGCTAAAGGTTCAGCGTTAATACTTGTGTGATTGTCAATTAAAAAGCAATTATTGCACATATCTGAAGCACCATAACAACTCGTCAATATTATGTATGTGTATTTTTTACTAGAAAAGGCATACTTGAGTCATTCTAAGGACCGTAGCGTTTATCACGCTGCGCTGACTATGCAACGCTTGCACTAAATACAAGTGTTTCAGACGCTTTGCTAAGACGACACTGTGGTGGCACCTACCCGTCGCCTTGCGTTCTACACCTCATCAGCTCAGAGACGGGCGCACACGCTGCGCGCTTCGTTTTCCAGGATAACTGCCAGATAGCGCTCATGTCTCGGGTGTGACATGACTTGCGCTCGTTCGCCTCCACTGCACACTCGAGGCACCCTAACGCAGCACCTCCAGAATACCAGTCACCGATTTTCTTGCGCAGAACATCGAATGGATGTTTTGTTCACTCTCTCCAGATGCAAGACTATCGTCTTTCGACGACATTTGCAGTGTAACATGCACATACGGGGCCAATTTCTTACCAGGGGGTTGTAGCACAAATATTGCAAAGTTCTAATGAAGGGAAGCATCCAAAAAGCACAATCACTTGTATACATGGTAGAAATATAAGGCAGTTTGGCTTTAGGGGAAACATGTCTTGAGACTTTCTTTATTAGTTGGGTTTTGTTGATGTTCAACAAACTTTTGCAGTTTCTTTCTGCGGATTCAAAATCTTCAAGTAAATTTTTATGACCTGCCTTAGACTGAAATATCTGCAAGTTGCGAGAGTGTATTTCTTATGGTGCTTTTGGCAGCTCTGCTTTGTCAAACACGAAAACGGTGTGTGCAGCAAGACTGCCAGAGCTGGTGTATCCGATTGATTTATTTATAATACCTCAATGATGCTAATACCTCGATGATGTATGTAATACCTCGATGATGTATACCTCGATGATGCTAATTTAATTTTGTTAAATTTTGAATGCAAAATAAGCTGATGCAGATATGGATAAAAAAAATTCGCTTCATAGACTGTATAATTATCAAGAATTATAATTTTCCAAACAACAATGCAAGCAATTGAATATCCTGATCTGCTACACCACTTTTCTGGCACTCTTGCTGCATATATGTGTTTGTGTGTGTGCGTGTGTGTGAAGCGCCATGTTTCCGATTAACGGCTGGTTCCTGATTTGGGTGCACGTTAAAGAACCCCAGGTGGTCAAAATTTCCGGAGCCCTCCACTACGGCGTCTCTCATAATCAAATGGTGGTTTTGGGACGTTAAACCCCACAAATCAATCAATCAATCAACGGCTGGTTCCTGGTGCACGACCCTGGGGCAAGTACTCGCGCTAGCTGGGGAACGAGGTGCGGAAGGGAGGGGACAGCTCAGGTTTAGAATCGGCAGAAAAACTTAATTTCTTTTTGTTTGCCCAACTATTAAAAAAAACACTTGAGACCCGTGTCTCTCCCTAAGGGAGCTGACTGCACAGTGAGAGTGGTATTTTGTTACTGCACATGTACTGTAGGAGATCGATAGGCTTTAAGCACTTTTATACGAGACATGGAGTTGTGCTTATGTTTTGCTTGTCTACTGCAGTTATCTGTGATGAATGTGGTAGCAGTCCAGCCACCTGCAGATGCGACACGTGTCCTTCAAACTTCTGCAAGCCCTGCTTTGACCAGGTAAGGGCGAAACAAAAAAAGCACATGAGCTCTCCACAAAATTTTTTCTTTGAAATATCTTTGCTGATCATGCAAATATGGTTTTGCATTTCTTTTGCAGCTCCACAGAATTGCAAAAACAATGCGCAAGCATCAGCCCAGAAGCTTGAGTGCACCATCAATGTGAGTGCAGTTTTCTCAATTCAAAGCCTATCAGTCAATCTAATCCAGATTTCCTTTGAAAATTTTATAAATTTGGGCCAACTGTGCTTTTGCAAGTGTTGAATTAAGGCTTATGCAATGTAAATTTTGTTTGCGGTAATACTAAGAGTTTTGAGAGGTAGGGCATTACGAGATATAGCGAAAAAGAAAAAGCATATGAGAAAGAAATTGCGATGTTGCTAGCGGCATTACGTCTGTCTCGGTGGATTAGTGGCTCGGGTGCTCAGCTGATGACCCGAAGGACGCAGGTTCCATCCCGGCTGCATTTCGATGCCGGCGAAGTGGTAGAGGGCTGTGTACTGTGCAATGTTAGTGCAAGTTAAAGAACACCAGATGGTCAGAACTTTCAGAGCCCTCCACTCCAGCGTCTCGCTCATAATCGTATCGTGGTTTTGACACGTAAAACCCCACATATTAAAAAAAAAACGAGAAAAAAAAAAGAATTACTACCTGCATTATTGTCTTGTGTCAGCAGAAAGTGTCTTGTGTCAGCAGAAAGTGTCTTGTGTCAGCAGAAAGTGTCCTGTGCAGGAGGAGTGTACTTGCTGCGAGAAAGCTTAAAGCTTATTCACACTTGCTACTAGCACTTGTCCCACGATCGTTTGTGACTGGTGACTGAAAAGGGATTCGGGGGTCGCCAGTGTTCATACCTGCGTGTGCGACCAATGCCCATCGTAGCACTGAATTTTGTGTCTCTTCACACTTCATCTCGTTCCTGCACATCTGATTGGTTCAGAAGCTTGACTGCATTTGAACAAGTGGAAAATTGAGCAGCGCATACCTGCCATGTCTCTCTGATAGTCCTGGAGACACCCGTATTTTCACCGTTTCTTCCATTTGCACGGTTGTTGTGAAAAATCTCCCGGAAATCGAAATTTTTCGTGCGTGATCTGGCCGCATTGACAGAAATGCAGGTCAGTCCGCTCCAGGCTTTTAGCGGACTCACCTCATTTTATTATAAATGAATTTAGGGAGTGTTCATCTAAACGCACAGTAGTCTCAGTGATACCAATTCGTGAAATTACCCAGCCGAATTTCACTGTGTTCATTGGGCCACAATTCGAATTTTCCCAACACTTTTCTAAATCGCGGCGTGTGATATGGACTTTAGTACCGAAACCATTGAACAAAGGCCGATTGAGAGCAGCGTGTGCTCGAAGCTTCAGAAGTACGCGTGGGACCAGTGCACTCACCGTCTTCGACAGTGTGTGTGGTTGCCACCGCGATCGTTCTTGACACGATCATGTATGGCGACGTCGTTACTGACAGTTCTCTGAAAGTGTGTGGGCGTTCAACGCTCGACTAGTCAAAGCAATGCTGCTTTCCGCAAACTCTGTAGACAAGACCGCGGCAGATGTGATCATAGCATAAAACAACTTAGTTTTGAAGGCGCGTGCACTGCCAACACACGCGGATTGATATTGGAACTACAGTTTGCTGCAACCTCTTCACTCAACACCGCGTTTGCGGCGACGCGATAGGGATCTACGGGCTCCGAGGGCAAGGGGCTAATGCAGAAGTAGATTAAATGCAGTAAAGACTAAAAAAAAAAGGCTAGAATCGTTTGGGCGTTCCTGTCCAAAGAATATAAAAGCGAGCAAAGCCAGAGCTTTGAGCCGCGCTTTCACGGCAGCCAGCTACGCCGTCCTGTCCGTCCTTGTCTCCCAGAAAAACATACGTGAGTTGCTTTGACGGAAATAGATTTTGCTAGTTGTTTTGAGTGAGTGAGTGAGTAAAAACTTTATTGAACATGTCCGGTGTCATTGAGCGGGGTGGGGCTACAAGCACCCCGGCCTAGGTGACGGCCTCGAGTCCTTGGTCCCGGGCGGCATCCTGGGCTTGCCGGACGGCCCACAGTTGATCGGCAAGGTCGTGGCTGAGCAGAGCCGCCTCCCATCGCGCCTCGCGGTTCGAGACTACCATGTCTACCGGGTTCGTAGGGGACTGCTGCGCGTTACCGCTACACTTCCACAGCATGTGCTGCAGCGTCGCCTTGGCTCCGCACGCCTTACACGCGTCGGACGTATAAATGCCTGGGTAGCAGAGGCGAAGGATCACCGGATTCGGGTACGTGTGTGTCTGTAGTGTTCTCCAGGCAACCTGCTGTTTCTTGTTTAGTTTGGCGTGGGGTGGTGGATATTTGCATCTGTTGAGTCTGTAGTGTTGCGTGATGTCTCTGAAAGTGGTCATGCGATCCCCCCACGTCCATTCCCGCATCGCTGTCGAAGTGTGCGAGACATCGGGACTGTCGGCAGGCGTCGCAGCTCGGCGTGTAAGTCCTCGAGCCGCGGCGTGGGCAGTCGCGTTGCCCGCAAGCGGAGGGTCCATGTGGGCGGGGGTCCATACGAGGAAACTGTCGTTTTTGCGGCAGATGTTGCGTTCGTGAATTTGGAGAATGCGGGTCGCTTCGCGGGAGATCCGGCCGCTGGCGTAGTTGCGTATCGCCGCCTGCGAGTCGCCTATTATCACCTCGGCGTCCGTGGTGGCTATCGCGAGGGCTATGGCAGCTTCTTCGGCCGCCTCCGTCTCTTCCGTGCCTATCGTCGCACTCGTGACGCAAGTTCCTACATGATCCGTGATCGCGACCGCGAAGCCGCGGTGGCAGTCGTAACGAGCCGCGTCCACGTAAACTGTCTTTGCTATTGCCGAATTTCTTTTTTTTCAAGGTCTTGGGCACGCCTGTTGCGCCGACCGATGTGATGTGTCGGGTGCATGTTCTTAGGCAACGGCATAACGACGATGCGCTCGCGAATACGTCTGGGTATCCCGACCTTTTCGCCGCGCTGCGTATGGTAGTTGATACGCAGTGTCTCGAGGATGTGTCGACCAGTTCTGGTCTTCGCCAGACGTTCGTACTGGGCGATGTTGTGTGCTTCGATTATCTCATCTAGAGTATTGTGCAACCCCAGCTCGAGAAATTTTTCCGTGCTGGTATTGGCCGGTAATCCGATAGCGCGTTTGTACGCTTTGCGGATGAGACAATCTAGTTTGGTGCGTTCAGTCACCTGCCACTTGAGGTAGGAGGCGACGTACGTTATATGGTTCATAGCGAAAGCATGTACCAGGCGAATGGTATTGCTTTCCTTCATTCCGCTATGCCGATTTGTTATTCGTTTCAGCAACCGGATTGTTTCATTGACCGCGCCCTCTAGTCTGCGAACGGTTTCGTCGTTGTGGCCGTTGGCGGACAGGCGCAAGCCCAGTACCCTTATGGTGTTAACTTGTGGGATGACAGCGCCGTCTGATGTGCGTACATTAATTTCTCTATATGCGCACTCGAATGCGTAATCGGCGTTCTTGGGTTTACGGCCCCTGCGCGATGGTCTATAGAGCAGGAGCTCCGATTTAGCGGCGGAACATTCGAGGCCAGTGTCGCGAAGGTAGTCCTGCACCACGTCGACGGCTTCCTGCAGCGTTTGCTCTACGTGGCCGTCATTTCCCTCGGCAACCCAGAGGGTGATATCATCGGCGTACAAGCTATGGTGGAGGCCTTCTATCTTAGCGAGTTTTCGTGGTAATCCAACAAGCACGAGGTTAAAGAGCATGGGCGAGATTACAGAGCCCTGCGGCGTGCCCGTACAACCCATGTATATGTCCTGCGATTCTAGTCCGCCGATCGCTAATCGGGCCCGGCGGCCCGTAAGAAAATCTCGTACGTAGTGGTACGTTCTCTCGCCCAGTCCCAACGCTCGTATACTTTCAAGTATCGCGGCATGGCTAACGTTGTCGAACGCCTTTTTGAGGTCGAGCCCGAGTATCGCTTTGGTGGATCGTGTGGGATTGTCTACGATATCGTGCTTGAGTTGAAGCATAACGTCCTGCGTGGAAAGGTTATGACGGAACCCCAGCATCGTTGACGCGAAATTTGGGAGTATTTTGTGCTCCCCTTTGAGACTCTCACCTTAGTGGGAAACCTAGTTCGTGTGTTCGGCACTCCGAGTCATTATAAGATCGCAACGCCGATGTTGGCATTTTCAATTGGACTCCCCCCTTCCTCTTGTCTCTGTATTTTGTGCTCCCCTTTGAGACTCTCACCTTAGTGGGAAACCTAGTTCGTGTGTTCGGCACTCCAAGTCATTATAAGATCGCAACGCCGATGTTGGCATTTTCAATTGGACTCCCCCCTTCCTCTTGTCTCTTGTTGTTGCTCAATGTCTTTTGTTCTTGTTTGTTTTTTTTTCGTGCCAAAAAACTGGGGAAATAATCGAGTGTGTCAAACGACCCCTCTCCCCATTCTGTTGCGGAAATCTTACGATTTCAGTATCCTTGAACTTGGCAGGTATGCAGTGTGCGAATGAGCCAAAGCAGTTGATTAGATCAAAATGATCATTTGTGAATGCTTGCTTTGCGGCTTTGTTGAGCGAAGTTGCAGGGGACTCAGACGTTTATTTTGAAACTTTCCTCCTGACGCATGTCGTTAAGGACATCAGTGTAGCTTAAAAAGAACACAGTGGGGCTGGCATTCCCTGCCCTTTAAGGTTTTCCTGCTATGTGTGAGCTGCGTGTCAGGTTGTAATCAATATAAGTTTGTTCGCGACGCTTAACAGGCATGTGCTTTGAGCACATATTAAAAAAAAAGTATGTATGCATTGCCTTTACCCCTGTATCCCTTTTCCCTGTTAGGGAACACTCCCAAATCTTAATATTTACGACTTGGCAGGTTGCATTGAAAGTTAACCTTTGTGCATCTGCAATAAGGCGTCGCATACTGTGTTGCTACTGGTTTCTGTGTATTCTCACAGCCACTGCATAGGTATACCTCTGTTATACAGCTAGATTAATAACCACTTGTTTTCGGTGGTGTGTCATTTTAATTATTCAATTTGCTTGGCATGTGGGGGTGTGAAATCTCGTCACAAGACAATTTCTTCAATTGGACATGATCAGCATTGTAGCTGTCCAGGCTTGAATGTGCCTTGGAAACGACTGCGATTTCTATGTAACAGTGCCAAACATGTGACAGAGCTAAGCTGAAACACAGTACAGGGTTTACATCTTAATTATTCAGCCTACGGAGTGTATTGTTAGATGTGTATATACAGTGTAGACCGCTTATAATGTAAGTCACGGGAGTTGTAAAAATCCGCGCTATAAGCGGTACTGCGTTATAACCAAAGCATGATTTTTTCGGCCTTTGCCTATGTCAAAAGGGCAACCCACCTTTCAAAAGCAATTTACTATACTTTTCACTCGCAGACACATTCAACACAATCACAACACCGCACAGAAACAAAGTTTTCAAGTCCGGCATCAGCGGAAGAACGCCGTTATTTTCGTCCGGCGATGCTTGCGAACAGCGCTGCGAACAATTTCGTCCTCCACAAAGCTTAAGCATTGAAGCGATTTCTCGCTCAAACTGTTTTTCGCGCAGTATGTTTTCACTTTAGCGAGGTATTCCAATGCGTCTTTGCACGGGAAATCTGGTTCTGGCGGCGGGTTGACATCGTCTTCGCCGTCCGACTCGTCGTCCGTTGCAACCTCCGCACTACCGCGCACCGCTGCGACGATCGCGTCATCTGTGCTCGCTTCCTCGCAGACGGAAAGCTCCTACTCCCCGGCATCGACAAATTCTTGGAAAGTGTCGGTGGCGGTTACAATGTTGCTGTTAACGAGGCAGGACCACACGTAGTCAGTGTTGAGGGTCTCATCGGCGAGCGACGTGTCGCTCTGCTCATCGTCTTCCAGAGCCTCTGCATTGCGCACGAAGCCTACCCTCTTGAAACGCTTATGGTATCGGCCTTTACCTGCCACCATGAAGTGACCACCATGTCAATTGCGCCTCTTAAGTTCACTTTAAGAGGCTGCTGCTGCTGCTGCATGCTCAGCAAAACTCTCTCACAAATGCGCTTTTTGTACAGCGCCGTTACGGTTGCGATGACACCCTGGTCGAGAGGTTGACTTTTTGCTGTAGTGTTGGAACCACCTGAACAGCGCTGCGTCCACGTCTTCGTATTTTGACGTACGTATTCTCTTCCGTGACAGCGAAGACGAATCTTGCTGCAGTTGCTGCCGCAGTTTGTCTTTGTTTTTGTAGATGGTTGACACGGTCGTGTCAGAAACATTGTATTTCGCCGCCACCGACGCCTTCTTCAGGCCACTCTCAATGTCCCTTATGACGCATTCCTTAATCTCCAGCGATAAGGCACGGCGTTTTTTCACACTGCTTGAAGACTCCGCCGACACCATGGCGACAGGAGCTACGCAACACACGTGCTCTGGGCTCTTAGACGGCAACGACACGGCGAAGCGCACACAGCAAATCGAAAGAGGCAAAAGAAGGAGGTTGAAAAAAAAAAAAAAAAGCGTGCTACCGCTTCTCTCCCCCACTCTGCGTAGCGTGCACCCGGATTGGACGCTGCCACGGTCGCCACGGTGACGAAAACACTCTCCCTCCTTCCAAGGTCTCCCCGACTCCCTCCCTACTGCGCCCTCTCTTCTCCTCCGCAATGTTTGACTTTTCGCGGCGGTCTCACACTCCCAATTTTCCGGCGCGCCGGGAACGCTGCCGGGAAACCGCGCCGACCGTCTCCGTTCGCCGATTTTATGGTCGCGCGCCTAAAAACTCCGCGCTATAACCGGTATTCTCCTTCGTGCGCCTACGCAATAAACGGTCGGCCTATACATTGAGTTCTATGGGCGACATATCGGTGGTCAAAAAAACTTACCTTATAACCGGTCTCGTGCAAAAAGCGGTTACGTTACGAGTGGTCTGCACTGTACACCTACTATTTGGACTTCATTGGTTTCAAGAACATTGGAATATCTGGCTTCAACATTGTATGCTAGTCATGCATTGAATGTGTATTTTCAAACATAGCTTGACATTTTCAAATGGTTGCAATTTAGGTGTTAAAGTAGGTGTAGTAAAAAGGCACAAAATTGGAAAACTTGTATGCATGTAATTTGGCTCTTAGTTCCTACGCGTTCATATCCTTGATGCATCATGTCAGCTAACATTGTGTACAGATTTAAGTCGATTAAGCTGATATAAAAGAGGGAACAAAACTGCTGAAGCCACCACAGCAAAATAATTAAGCGGGGACACGGGTCTTAGAAGGCCAAAAATTGCAAAAATATCGACTTTTTGAAGCTGACATTTTTGAAATCTGCGCCTATTTTTGCACTTATCTAAGAAGTTTCTAGCTTCTCGCGTCATTATGTCTGGCGCAAAATCAATTTATAACATTCCTGTGAGATTAATGTGAGTGCAAATCGACGCTAAAATCGCGCTTTTTTCGCGCCAAGCTGTTGCCGTTATAGACGAGCTATCGTGTTCATCTTGGTCTCGTTTGGAAGGGCCGTTCTTCATCTTCAATTTATCGCCACGGCTGGCTCACCTTGCTCATTGGTTTTTTAGCAAAAATGCGTCATCGAGAAGCACTAGCGCGCGATTCAATTGGCTGCTTGGGGCACGTGACCAAATTTAGGAATCCGATTTAGGAATCCTTTCGGATTCCAAATTTAGGAATCCTTTTGGCGTCTGCTTCACCATCGTGACGCGCACAGACATGCGCTCAGTAAAGAAGTTCCGTGCTACAGTAATTTGTGAAGCGGGTGTGGCGGTGATTCGTTCGCTGTGAAGTTCAGAAAGATCCCCGCTATGGCTCAGGACAACGAGGATAACGAACTCGATGCGGTCAAGGGCGGTCGCCGAGTCACCGGTATAGGCCTAACTCACGTACGAGCCCATTGGTTGCCGACAATGTTACTGAGAACGGCTGTGTTTTGCAGCCTCATACAGACATGCGCCCAGTAAAGAAGTTCTGTGCTACAGTAATTTGTGAAGCGGGTGTGGCGGTGGTTCGTTCGCTGTGAAGTTCAGAAAGATCCCCGCTATGGCTCAGGACAACGAGGATAACGAACTCGATGCGGCCAAGGGCGGTCGCCGAGTCACCGGTATAGGCCTAACTCACGTACGAGCCCGTTGGTTGCCGATAACGTTACTGAGAACGGCTGTGTTTTGCAGCCTCATCAGTTGGAGAACGGCAAGTAAAAAGCAGAAGTGAAGCTACCAGAGATATCAATTTTTGTAGTGACGGAACGGAAGTGCAGTCTTATCGCTAAACCCGCCGATGTTGTGGTTCCCCCCGCCTGACGAAAGGACCTTGAACTGCGCGACGGGTCGTCAGAGTGGAGTACGCCGCGCGTCGACCAACAACAGAAAGTCAATCCGTTCGCAGTGAACATGCTCGCGGCCCTCGCAATGGAGGCTACTGGCAACAGGTAGACTGCTTTTAACGATATGTTCGCAACGTTGTCGCGATCTCCGCTTGAAAATGCGGCAGTCTTACGTGAAAAGGAAACTAACACCTCGGCACTCATGTAGCCTCAAAATTGATGTGCAAGGGAGCAACTTCGGTTCGCGACACTTATGGGTAACGTATTCTGGACAAGCCGGAAAACATCGCCGCGTTAATCGACGGATCGTGGATGACGCACACACATTTGTCGCACATCGCCGTCAGTACAGTCACCGAACTGATAAGCGGCCTCGCGGCAGATGAGCACACAGCGACAACTTGCCACAGGACTACAAGAAATGACACGCTCGTACAAACAATCAGTCCTATTACATCCCCGGTGCATATTAACTGACTAAAAGTATGTGTGCCATGATATTTTTTCCTCGGAACGGCGAAATTGAGTTTTAACAGCATTATTCTCGAAGCACAGATTTTGACCACTTTCTTTTGCTTGTTCGGTAAAAGTGGACCTAGGGCAGCCAGAGCTGTAATTGTTTTTGCACAATGTAGCTAAATGTGCGCAAAAAACAATGCTGGGAGCCTATTCTTATTGGGCAGCTTCATTTTTTTATTTTATTATAAAAATTTCTATATTTGGTCACATGCAGTGAACCTTACTGTGCTGTAATTTGAGAAGTACTCGTTCAATTTTCGATCAGCTTGCAGCATTGCACTCCTTAGGCTTTCTAGCATTCATTTATATGTGAATGGCTATGTAATTATAAGTGCATACATTTTTACAGTTAAAAATGTTAGAATTCTTTGTTTTCTTCATTTTCTCAAAATGGCAATTTTGTACACCCTGCATGAAAATTACTGCAATATATCTGAAAATATTACAGATAGCAGAATATTTTATTTTGCAGCATGAAGCTATATGTTTGGAGCACACAACATAGGAAGCAGATTTTGATTTCTCTTTATGCAAGTTTTTCAAACTAGTCTGTGTGACCACACAATGGCCACATTCAGGGCTGTGAAGTTTAGTGTACTGTAAAGTAAGAAATAATGACCCATTCAAAAAAGTGCTTCATATTTTGCATGTCTTATCCTTTCTACTGTCAACCCCTATGTTATTTATAAATGTTTGACAGGTGGTTATTTTTCTATTATGGTAAGAACAATAGAAATTGTTATCTTGATTATTTAATTAACTAATGAAGCTACAGAAAAAATAACTACATTTTTAGAATCCGGAGTACAAACTAAGTAAGCATGCCAACTTTTGTCACACTTGGTTCAAAAATAAATGAGAGAGCCCTAAGAACCATGTCCCCTCTTAAGAGTTGTTTGGGCTAATTTGATAGCAGTACCATTGTAAAAAAAAGGGGGCTTAACATTGTCATTGTTTTGAACCTCTCGTATCCTCTAGTGCTATGGAGTATGCCCTGTGTGGTGTGCACAAGCGCCTGCGGGAATTTTATTGCACCGTTGATGGTGAGTTCATCTGCACCTTCTGTGTTGTCGTGGGCGAGCACAAGAACCATGATGCAATACCTGCAGCAGAGCAAGTGAGCTTTTTCTCTATTTGACTTGATTTCAAAAAATAGCGTGAAGGAGCAGTCATTGCACGAGAAAAAAAGAGTGTACAGAAAAAGCATCTATGCATGCGCTAATGTTTGAGCCGTTCAGATGCTCCAATAAATGTTGCTGAATTAAAATTTGCTTCGACACAAATTTAAATTATTAGAATTTCAATGTTTTCAGAATGAATGGATATGAACATGTTAAACCACCTGTAGTTCACTTAGTAAAGATGGTTTCACTGCATTGTAGAGGTGCTATGCTATGAAAACATGTATCCAGGCAAAATTGGCACTTTCAAGAAGTCCTATTTGGAAATTGATTAAACAAACTTACCATCATATTCATAAATCATGTTTGAGGTTTAACAGCATGTCATTCAGGTCTATATGCTGCAACTTTAGTAATTTTTAAAGCATAATATATTTCACCAGTTATCACTTGCATATTACTAAAATTCAAATCCTGTTACTATTTCACAGCTGCTTCCACTTCACTTGAACAAAAAAGAATGACATTTGTACATGTGTTGCTGCAATCAAAAAATATATTGTGCTGGTTAGTTGGGTCATGAGCGCCGTGTTTGTGTCTTCTCATCTCCATCCTGTTCCAGTGCTGTTACTCCTTTTTTTGTCAGTATGTACCAACCAGCCCATTTTAAGACGCTAATGGGTCATGAGTTCTTTTTACAATGTGACATATGCCATTTGAAATACAGTGGGCTCCCAATAAACAAAACTCGCTTAAACGAAAATGCCTCATTAATGGAACTAAACGGGCTCATATGGCTGGATTTATATGTGTTGCGCAGTAAAATTCATCGGTTAATCGATACAGTGCTTATTGGTCACCAAGGTTAAATGGCACAAACTCTAAACACAGCATAGACTCGCTCATGCTAAAGGTAGTCTCACAACCATGGCAACACCTTGAGATCGAGACAAGCCAATCCAGTAGCCATTCTCGCTTGTGGCTGTGGGAGCGAAGTAGGCGAGTCAGTTGTGCGTTAGGCCTATTTGTACGGCAAAGTGCAGTGGATCACGATGTTATTTCAGCCTGATGGAAAGGAAGCGGCCGCACCATACACTCTCGCTTGAAAAAAAGCTGAAAATTCTTCAGGAGCTCGATGGAAGCGGCCTGTCCAAGATGGAGGTGGCGGAAAAATACAGCCCGAAATCCACGCTGTCGCGGATCTGGAAAGACGGAGAAAAGAATGAAGGCACTGTTAAGAACGGGACCTTTACATCTAAACGGATGCGGATGTAGACGATGCCTTATAAACAACTACAAAAGTTCTTTTCTGTGGTTCAAGCGTGCACGGAGTTCCAATTTGCCCATAAGAGGACCAATTCTCGAGCAGAAAGCTCGAGAGATCGCCATGCAAATGGGTGTTAAAAACTTCGTCCTAAGTGACGGATGGCTCAGCCGCTTCAAAACACGCCATGGCCTAGTCTTCAAAGCAATCTCAGGTGAGAGGGGTGCAGTCAACAGGGACATTTGCACCGACTGGCAACAGGGGCGGTTTAAGGAAATCTGGATGTGCTTTGAGCCACGAGACGTCTTCACTGTCGACAAGATGGGTCTTTGTTATAAAGCGCTTCCATCAGACTCTTACCTTCAAAGGCGAAGCCTGTAGTGGAGGAAAACGCAGTAAAGATCGCATCACTGTGCTGGTGGGTGCAAACATGGCAGGGAATGAGAAATTGAAGCTGTCGGTAACAGGAAAATCAAGGCGCCCACGTTGTTTCAAAGGCGTTCGACATCTTCCTGTTGCGTACCATGGAAACGGAAAAGCGTGGATAACCATGGTCATTTTCGAAAACTGGCTTCGAGAGAAAGATGCAAGATTTACGAGGCAAAGCAGGAAGGTTGTCTTCATACTGGATAATTGCCCAGCCTACAGTCAGGTTCAAGTACTCCAAGCCATCACGCTGCAGTTCTTGCCAGCCAATGCAACAGCAGTGATCTGCTAGTGGATCAAGGGGTTATTCAGAACATTAAAGTTAGTTACTGCAGACAATTGCTCCATCAAATGCGTAGAGCACGCAGCGGGAAATGCTACAGCATATATTTATTAACAGCCATCAATGTTTTGGCTTGTGTCTGGGATCAAGTTAAGGCAACAACAATACACGGATGCTTTCACCATGCTGGCTCTTTAGTGAAAGAAAGCAGTACTTGAAGAAGAAAGCCCTGCCAATGCTGACATTGAGACAGTATTCAGTCAGGTCGTACCCTCTGCCCCTTTCATGCTGCAGGACTTTGAATCAATTGATGAAAATGTTCGTACCTGTCATGAAAAGGCTGTTGAGGAAATGATTGCTCAAGTGCACGATGAGGATCAACCCTTCAGCGATGAATGTGATGACAATACTGCCAGTGCAATGGTGCCACCAGACCGATCAGCTAAAGAGGTTGTTGAACTTTTGCAGCGCTATTTTGAGCATGAGGCTTGTCCAGAATTTCTGGCTAGTTTGTCAGGCATGGGTGCGTACCTTGTGAAAAAACAACTCAAGCTTCCCAAACAAACCACTCTTCACTCCTTTTTTTCTCCTACTCATCCTCATGAGTAAGGTGAGGTTTGTGTAATTTAAATGAAAGTCTTCGTTCACTAAATAAGTGTACTTTGCTTAAATGAAACTTCTGATAAATGGAACAGTTTTATGGATCCCCTTCAAGTTCAGTTTAAGAGGAGTCGACTGTATTTGATATGTCGTTTTGGGACGTAAAGCTCTACATATTACTGTATTTTCTCGCATACCACCTGCCCCTGCATATAATCCGCACCCACACTTCCCGCTCGCCGAGAAAAAAAAAAAAATCCTCGCGTATTGCTTGCACATTTGATATACAGAAAAGGCTGTACAAAATCTACTGCTCAAGCAGTGGAGAGCCCTTGTCACTTCACAAAGTGGTGCAGCCATCCGCAGCTCCGGAATCCGTGAGGTAGGCCTGGCTCCCTTGACAATTGCCGCACCTCCATTTGGGCCATCTCGGTCAATACGGCATGACCCCTGCTTCTCACATCTTCAATGAACTTTCCTAGCTGCACCTCCGGCTTGGGGTCTTGGGGCCACGGAAGGACCTACGGTCACGGTGTGCGGCTTGTAGGCTTTCTTCCTTATCGTGCCGCCTTCCCACGCAATACTCGAATTCCTCAGCGATGACGAGGATCTTAAATAGCCAGTAAACAAATTCCGACTTTTTTTTTACACCCTCCATACAAGCTCGGCAATTTGTATGATAGACCACAGCGATCACGTTTTCTGAATATTACAGCGCTGCACCCCGCGCAGAGCCTCTATTTCGAAAAACAATTCCCGCACATCTTTTCTACGCCTGACTGTGACCCCCTTGCACGTGCAGTGACGTAGCACGCAGCTAGTTGATTGGTCTAAATCGGGTGTGAAAAAACAGTAGTGAAGGCAACGTCAGTTCCTGTTCCCACACACAGCTACGAAAGTGCCCCTTGTTTCTTGGCACTGCGGGGAAAGAACCAGCCCCGTAGTTGTCGCGGGCATGTGTACACTCCTCGCTCAACTACAGAGCCCGTGCGCTCATATTAACATACTTCAACCTTGACATGAGCAACACAAACAATAAGCGTTGCTCACGTCGTCGGCTGCAAATCGAACGACTAGGCAGCGGAGAAGCATCGGCACTAGGTGCCTCACGATGGGGCCCTGCGCGCTCGCTGCATGGCTGAAGCGAATCGGCCATCCAGCGACGCACGTCGGAGACCTGATCGTTTGTGGTCGACACTTCGCAACTGACACTTGCACGGTTGACCTGCGGCTGGTGCGACAAACGGTAAACGAACAACCATGCTTCGCGGCAAGCGGAAGTGCGTGGTGACTTGTCGAGTTTGCCAATGACGTCAATCGCTGACCTCACGTTGCCGAAGTGGGCGGAGTCACGACGATGGGCTAAGCCTTCCCCTTCATGAAGGGGAGAAGGGGGGCGAAGCTGCGCGAAAATTTGAAAGCAGCTTAGACCGATGTTCTAACCCCTGTAACTTCCTTAATATAGCACGTATTCGCAAAATTGTGGCAGCATGTTCGCATAGACAAACTACATATATATATTTTTTTAAGAACTTTGGGATCTCAGGGCTGTTTACTGGCCCTTTTAGCTTTTGCTTTAGGGTGAAGGATTGCCGTTTGACGCTACTCATGGTGACAGAACAGATCGAGCGGGCTTGGCGAACGGGTCAAGATGTGGAGAACTAGTGATATTAGCGAGATAAAAAGAGCTCACACTCGGTTATAACTTTTCTCGACAGCACTGTGAAAGCAACAGAACCGAAATGCATGCGTGCTACCGCGCCAAAATATTACCTAAATTTACTAATATCTCGTTTGCCTTGCTGAAATACTGTTTTATTTATTTTCAAACTCAAACGGTTGTGAAAAGTCGTAGGTCAAGTACAAGTATTGTTCACTCTGCAAAAATAAATGCCTTCCTTTCCTTTCTATTTCTTAGCCAGCACCACCTTTTCCGCAAGCTCTTTTTCAAGACAAACATGGCGTCAGTGACGTAGGGGCACTAGGAGGGTGGTGGGAGGGTCACTGTGCAACCGGTAATGTCCAAAAGCATACTTATAATGTGACAGTGAGGTTTACAATGAACAATCAAACGCTTCAATGATGCAAAGAAGGAGACCCAAAATTGGCCGCAAGCTGCCGTACTACTTGCGGTGCAACACGTATTTGCGAGAACCGGCTCTAGCCTTTGCTACGCTGTTAAGAGCCTTCACGGCAGAACACAGCATTGCTGTGAAGCAGACAATAAAAAAAAATCTCAGTATATCCACGGAGTGAATGATGATAAGTGGGGCGAGGCGTACATCAGCCCCGTCCGTCCGTCCATCCGTTCTTGCTTTCGTCCATCTGTGAGTCCATCTATCCATCTTCTTGTCCGTTCATGCGTCCATCTGTACATAGTTCGTGCATCCGTCCAATAGTCCGTCCGTGCGTCCATATAGTGA